GAGAGAGAGAGAGAGAGAGATACTGTGGTAGGAAGATTCAGAGATCTGTTGTGCTTTTTTTTTTTTTTTTTCTTTTCTGTGTGTTGTTTTTTTCCTCCCCTTCCTTTCCCCCAGTTGCTTTGCATCAGGGCATGAAAGGAGTGGAAACACCGGGGGGACAAAAGGCACCAGAACAAATGATGAAACTCAGTAAGGAAATCAACTGGATTCAGAATTTATAGCTTTAAAACGTTGCATTGATCAGTGTGCGAATAGTCATTATGTGCTTTTGGGCTGCGTGATTAGGAAAGCAGATCAAGGCTCTCAAGATGATGATTTTTCTTAGTGTTTTTTTTTTTTTTTTTTCCCCTTCTGCTTGTAATATATTTGTGTGTGTGCCTGTGTGTGTGAGAGAGAGAAGCATAAATACCAAAGTCTCTCTGGTCGCTTCTGCGAAGAGGGGAAAGTACAACCTTGTCTGATACTCAGGTTTCTCATCTCTCTTCTAGATGAAATTTTAGGCAAGAGAAGAGTATGTTCTCCCAACAGCAGCAGTGAGTGTCCTTTAGAAAGCAAGAAAGCCAGAAGTGAGTCCCCAAAGGGTAAGTGCTGCTTCTCCCTCCCCCATCCCCTTCCCCTTTCTTCTCTTTTCTTAAGAGTGGAACTTAATTGAAATTAAGGAGCGGGGAGGGGGGAGGGAGGGAGGGTTGCAAGAGGCTGCGGTGTGGGAGCCGTGTCTGGCACTGAGGGTGCATGAGGGAGGCGACCAGGGCTCTCTGCTTTCTTTATCTCCTCGGGGTGAAGGGGGGGAAAGGCTCTCGGTGCGAGCCTCTTAATTAGAATAATTGCCTTGTGATTAAAAAAAAAAAAAAAAAAAAAAAGGCAAGCAAGCTTGAGGTGGGTTTTTAGGGGTGTTTCCACTTTTCAGGCAGAATGTCTTGATTACATGTTTAATATAAAGAGATACACACAGGCTTATCGTGCTGGCATCTGTTCCTTTAAAGGGGAAAAAAAAGAAGCCTGTCAGGGAGAATAGGGCTGCCTGGTTCTCTCTTATGCGTTTGTGGCTCTGTTCCTATAGAGATGGAATCTGCAGAAGGTTTCTCTGCTTAGGGATTTATTTTTATTTTTTAGTCTCTTGGTTTGTCTTCGGGTTCTTTCCCGTAAAGGCGATTTTTAAACTTTTCTTTGGGGCTGGCAAAGTGGGCTGGGTAATGGAGCCTGCAGTTAATGAGTTTGTCTCCAGGTTGGGTAAATGAGGTTTTGCAGGCCGTTTGCTGAAAGGCTTTGTTGCTAAGTTCAAACTAATTAGCTGTCAGTAACACCCATCGGGATCGCTGTGCCCAACCTGCACTCCTTGCCACTTAAAAAAAATGAAAGCAGATCCTGTTCCATGGGTTTGGAGTTCAGCTGAGACTCTCTGAGGTGTATATTCTCAATAACCCATCTAGGGAACCTCAACAGGGACTTTTGGCAGCAATTTGTCCTAAAGCTCTTTTAAACTACATGGTTTATGTTGTGCTTTATAAAGATATATTGTGGGGACCTGTTCTGCATCCTGATTTCACAGAATGTTCCTGTATATTGTTTCTTGTCCCCAAATTATGTATGATCTGAAGGCAGCATACTCTGAGAGGATGTTGAGTGCTGGTGCCACTTAATAGAATATTGCCATCATCACCTGAGAACGTACTAAATCTTCTCCTTCATGTAACCCTCTCCTGCCTGTTAACTCTTTTATACCAGTAGAATTGCCTTGGATTTTACTGGGAACCCTTTATACTGCTACTCTTTACCTGTTTTCCTTGATTTGTTTTCATCTGCCCCGTTCCTGTTATCCTTGAAATGTTTCTTGTGGATGTGCAGGAAAATTCCAGCAGGATGATTTGATAGATTCCTTGTTATATCAAGACTTGGGGTTCCTGTAACAAACTTGACACGTTGCTATTTCTGCTAAGTTTGTATCCTTTGTAATTTCAAGACAGTTCCTCCTTAGGAACTGAATCCAGGTAACAGCAAACCTGCGTGGTCTGGCTGAGAATGGGCTGAACCTTAAGCAAGCTGTCTGAAAGCAAACTATTGCGTTTGGATTCATCCCAGTAAAGTGGCTGAACTGGCACAAATGGATTGGTTTTGCCACGGGAGCAGCAGGGTCAAATGATCTCATTCCAGTTCTTTCCTCTGGCCTTCCCAACAGTTTTTGTTTACTGGAGTGGGCTGGGGGCAGTGTGAGGCAGGTGAGGAACCCTTGGCTTTCTTTGCAGGATGCACTTGGGATATAAATCTTGCTCCTTTGCTCCCAGGGACTGGGAGATTCCCTTCCAGGGGTTCCCGGGAAGCCCTGAATAAAGAAAAAAAGTTTTGTTTCCTGCTCCTGCTTTTCTTCCCTTGGAAATCCTTCCCTGCCCTCTGAAAGAGATGAGACAGAGTGGAAATTTGGAGCTGGGCCTTTTAGTGATCTCCCACGTGACCTGTTTTTTATTAGATCTTTGGAGAGCCCCCGTTCCCTCCAGTGCTGTACAGGAATTTAAGCCTGGGCTGTGCTGATGCTGGAATACCACTGGAATAGTGAGGGGCCAAGACTTCTGTGCTTTGGGGGCCTTTGTCTGCTATGGAAAGGGGGTTAAAGGAGGGGCTGCAGCCAATGTTTCTGTCTTAAGGCCCAAACAGTGGCAGCACCTCCCAGCTGAGAACTCCCAGGAGCCTTCCTGTGCTGCTGTCAGTCAGGCACTGTTCCGGTGCCGTGGAGGGAAATGATCCCTGTGTTCCCAGCTCTGGCTGGAAACAGAACCATCCACGCTGTGTGACAAGCCATTTTCAAATGGGAGGGACCCCAAGGGCCAGTCACCTGGGATTTGGGAACTGCTGCAGTGGAGCAAAGTGCGAGGCTGTGCTGGAGCCCCAGGCTTGGCTGGGACCCAGAGTGCAGTTTGTGATTTAGGAGTGGGAAGGGAAGCAAGGACCGGTTGGAGTTCTGGAGCCTGTGCAGCCTCACGCTGTGCTGCAGTAGGAGCTGGGTCTGCAGTGTTCTCTGGGACACAGCTCTCCTTTTCCTCCAGCCTGGTGGTCCTGTGCCTTGTGCAGGTGCTGCTCCTCCACATCCTGCATCCCCTGTGGCGGTGACCGGCTCCAGGCAGGACTCTGCCCCTCTCCACCACACGCTGCCCTGGGAGCAGCTCTTGCTCTCCATCACACACTGCCCTAGAAGCAGCTTTTGCTCGGGGCACAGCTGCCTCGTCTCGGGAACAGCCTTTTGAAGAGCAGGAGTGACCCCATGGCACAGCTCGTGCTGCCGTGGCCGCGCCTGACAAGGCGAGGAGAAGAGAGGCAGCCAAGGAAATCACTCCCGTTCTCTGACTGAATGAAAAAACACCTGTAGGGCTGGAAACCCTTCCAGCGGGGAGCAGCCACCTTCCCTTCCCCCTCCCCAGCTCGCAGTGTGCGCTCCAGAGATCAAAAGAGAGCCCTATCTCGGTGGAAACGGGGCCGCGCCGCTGTCAAACAGAGCAGAACGTTCTCGCGTCTAATATGGAAATGGGAGCGCTATCAGAGGCTTGGGAGCGAGGGCTGTGCTGGCAGGTCACGGAGGAAGCTTTCTCCTCTCCCCAGGAGACAATTCCCCAAGTGAAACCCCGGCTCTCCCACGGCAGCAGCGTGTCTGGAGATCTGCTTCCCCGATACCCCGGGACGCGGAACAAAACCGAGGGATCGTGGGACGGGAAAAATCAGCAAAGAGCGTTTTGGTTCCCGTTTGAGCTGCTGAAAAATGTATCTGGTAGGAAGGTTGGAAGACGGGCTGGAAGAAGCGCTGGAAAACACACGTAGGGAAACAATATTGTGCTCACCCCCTGGGGCGGGCGATGAGCTCATACGCTGCTCCCTCTCTGCCATTCTCTTTTCTTTGCTATTGTGGATCGTTTAAAACAAAACAAAGTCTTGCTGCGTCTTTGGGTGATGAACTAGACCAGAACTGGAGCTGGACTGCAGCTGAGCAATTCAGATCCAGCCTCTGTCAGTTTGGCCCCTCTCCTCCTTAGGGGAACATCCCTATGTCGGTGGCTTTGGCAGCTGTCCAAATAGGCCAAATAGAGGAACAAGGTTTGGCCCCATTCTTGCTGAAAACTTCACTTGCTTTCCCCCTAAACCCAGACTGCTGAGTGTGGTGGGAGTGGCCACAGGCCCCCCCACCATGACCCTGGCAAGAGAAGACCCTAAAGCTACTGCCCAAGACCTGGCCTTGAGTTTGCAGTGAGATGCATTTGCAGCAGGTTCCTCGAGCTTTGACTGGGATGAAATAAAGGGAACCTTGGCCTGTCATGGGTTTGTGGCAAAAGGAGAAGGGATGGAGAGGCTGGAATTGCTTGGAGAGGATGGACCTTACAGAGTTATTCAGAAAGGTTGTGCAGCGCTGACACGTCCTTCGGGCTGCGTCCTCCAAGAGTTCCCTGTGGCTGTGCCATCAGCGGTGGCAGAGGTGGGCTCCCCTTGGCTCGGGTGAACAGGAGGGGGCTGGTGGAGAGCATGAGGGCCCAGCAGATGCTGCCTTGGCTCTGCCTTCCCACGGCCCTGCCAGAGTCCATTTCACACCTGGCGGCTGGAGGAGATTTGGCGAGATCAGTCTCCCGCATTACCCCTGGTAATGACAAAAGCAGACAGCAAAGCTTCAGCAAAGCTGGAATTACTGCTGGCTGAGTCATGTGAAATCTTCCAAGTTTTAAGTGTGGAAATCCAGCCTTTCCCTGGGCTCCTCCTTCCTCTTAGCCTTCCCTTGCCACCCCCATTCTCCCTCCCCTCCTTGCACCTGAAATCTGCTCTGCGGCTGATCCGATGGAGTTTATGGTAATTAAGTGTTATTAAATCCCCTCCCCCCCTCCCTTTTCTTCCTCTAATGACACAGCTGTGGGGAAAAAAAAAAAAAATCGGTGTTTTTCTAAATCAGGTCTGTGGCATGTGGCTTTGCTCCTTAGACCTTTGGTTAAGAGCATCAGAAGGGAACTGAAACCTTGTGCTTCTGCATCCCTGGGGGAGGTGGCAGGAGCAGTGAGAGAGCAGAGGAGGATGTGGGAATGTGGCCCCTGGGAGTGACTTGAAGGGAAGGGGACCTGGAAGGGAATTCTGCCCACCACTCCCCTGCTTCTACCAGGGATGTCTTGCAGGTTTTGGGTGCTGGAGGAGGGAGTGGGAGGGAGCAGGAGTGCCTTGGCTGTTGTCCAGGGCAGCCCCTCATTTTGGGGTCTGGCTTCTGGGGGTGAGGCTCACAGGCCAGCACGGGAACCCAGCTCCTCATCCCAGCCAGCCTGAAGCAGGCTCTGAACCTGTGATTGCACAGGAAGCCAGTGGTCCCTGAGATGCAGATGTGTGTCAGTGGGGTAGAGATCCGTGGTTGCAGATAGAGCCACAAATTGCTGTGCTGGAACGTTGACCTGAGCTGGAGGGGACTGACTGAGGTAATTTCCCTTCTGCAGAGGAAGAGTGCCTTGGGAGCCAGTGATGCAAACCCAACTTTGTGCAGCTCAGGCTATTTTTAAAAATAATAATATTATTTATTGTTGCTGCTGCTGTTGTTGTTATTGCTGCTGTTATTGTTGTTATTCCCTCCTATGTTTTGGGGAGAGGGTGGCTTCCTTACAACATGTGAAGGTTTCATCCACCAAAATCTGAGCCCTGTGTGCTTGGCTGGGCCATGGGTTTGGTGTCAGACAGCCCGTTCACCTCTCGTTCTGGGTAAGGCAGAGGTGACCCAGTCCCTGAGCTGCTGTGGCAGGGCCACATTTTACAGCCACTCTGACTCTTTTCTGGCTGTTTTTGTCTGCCACAGACTTATCTTTCCTGATAGCCAGCTCAAGGGGCTTTGTCTCACTTGGGAGAGATCCACAGCTCTTTTTTTCCCAGCAGGATGGCCAGTGCCTGTGCATTCCTCACAGTGCTGACGGTGGTGCCAAGCGAGTGTCCTGTGTGCTCAGAGCCATCACCTTGAACTTGCAGCCAGTCTGGCAGCAGAATCACCTGCCCGTGGTCCCTGGGGGACTCTGTCAGTGGAATGAAGGAGCACAAATCCTGGGGCACGCAGTGGGGTGGTCCTGTCACTCAGTGAACACAGTGGTGGTCCTGTGACTGCAGCGTGGGGGGAGCCCATCCCGCTCCCTCCCTTCCCCTCCGCCTGCTCAGATTGTTACTGGGAGTTCCTCTCTGAGTAATGAAAAGGCTTTGCCTGTGGGGAAGATCCGAGATAAAATAGTGTTAGAGCAGCCAAGGCGGAGAGTGGTAATTACTCTGATTTGTGCTTACAGTAAACAGAAAGCCTCTGTGGTTTTCTCTCCCTGACTGTCGGGCTGGGATCCCTCCTGCCCCAGGAGCAGGCAGGGCCTTCCTCAAAGCACCTCCCTCCCTGGGCTCTGCAGTCATTCCGGGAAGATGGATAGGGAGGCATGCTGGGTGCGATTTTAATGGCCTCAGGGTGCTCAGCCACACGGTGTAGATGTGAAACAACCTGCTCCTGAGACTTCCCCAGCAGAGCTGGGCAGGTGGATGTCGTCACCGCCAGCATCACTTCCCTTGGGTGATGAGCATCTCTCCTGTTTTTGTGTTCAGGAAGGTGGGGGGAAAGAGGTGCATGTCAGGCCAGGTATGAGCTGAAAAAAGGAACTCAGTGAACTCTTCCATCCTCCCTGTCCCCTCTGCCATGTTGGGGGTACAGAGCTTGCTGACAGTTTTGTGTTACTACAGTGCGGTGCTTGGTGCTTTGGGAGGAAGAAGAAAGAAACAGCTGTTGAGTTTTTTTGGGTGATAGGGGGCTTTTCTGTATGTAATAGTACCCATGTTTGGAGGTTCAGCATGTTGTTAGGTGCCTTTTGACCACATACAATGGTACATCTCGAGCACAAGGACAGGCTGATTTGGCAGCTTGGTACATCAGGCTCAGTGGGAACACTAGAGAGTTGTGGGAATTGGTGCTAATAGCCCTCTAACCCCCTTATCTCTTTCTTTTTTTTTGCACTGTCGCTGTACTTATGTGGTTTTTCTGCTGTATTTCTCTCTGGAAAACAAAACAAAACAAAACAAAAGACCCAAATCTTTCTGCTCTTCAGAAAACTCCCACACGCCTCTGCTGGAGGACTCGGTGACTCAGATGACCCCGGAGGAGCACTACAGACGCATGATGTCAGCACTGAATGAGCATGGCACCTTTGAAGAGCAGCAGCAGCAACGTCTCTACCAGCTGGCCAACAGCATGGCAGTGCCCAGCCACGGAGGTACAGGATCTGCAGATGGGAGGAGGGACCTGGGATAAGTCTGTAAAGGTTCCTAATCCCCCCCTGAGTGCACCTGGTGGGGATTGATGGGCTGCAGTGCTGCGTGTTTATCATGCAGTGAATGCAAGTGGTGCTAAAAGGTGTCCTAGAGACACCTTTTCTCCCTCCATCTCCGTGGGGGCATCTCCCCTCAACCATCTATAAGTGCCAGTTCCTTCTGTAACTCTCTGGGGGGGGATACGCTTTTCTTTACTTGAATAGATTTGCTACAACATCGCAACTGTGTGTTTTGCAGGGGTGGTGAGAGGGGTCCTTCCTTTGTTTTGAGGGTTTGTGTCAATGTGAATATTCAGGATCTCTGGGGTAAGGCTTTATTTGGGTCACAGTGTGGAGCAAGGGGGGATGAGCGCTGGGGTAACGCAGCAGGGATGTGAGATGTAGGCAGTGCCAGACACTCCTGCCCTTTGGTGATGGGAATGCAAAGAGGATGTTGCCACCTTCTCCTGGGGCTGGAGTGGTGCCCTTGAGGGGATAAGTGTCCTGTAGTGCTGGGATCTAAGGGGTTCCCGTGTGAATGGAAGGATTGCTGGTGTGTTTTCCCTGGGCTGTGGAAGGAGCTGGCTGGATCCAGCGCGTCCTGCGCTGTGCCTAAAGGGGGCACCAGGCAGTTACAGGATCTGCCTTGGATCCACTTGGCAGGATGAGGGATCCACAAGCATTCCCTCCACCGGGTTCCTCAGCCCACCACCCCTTCCCTCGGGGGAGCTGAAACTGCTGGCACCGACTCAGCTTCACCCTGAGTAAAGCCAAGGCTTGTACCGAGCCCTGTGCTGCAGGAGCCAGGGGTGGGGGGAGCAACTCAGCTCTCTGGAGCAGGCAAAGCCAGGGAGATGGAAGAGGTGATGCTGTTCCAGCCTTGGAAGCAGAGGGTTGAAGCATCACTGAAAAGCAGTGCTGTGCAAGGATCTGTCCCCCTGCTGCTTCCTGCCCGAGGTGTGGAGGGCTCACCCGGGGAGCAGGGGCAGCATCAGCAAAGCATCCAGCAAGAGCTGGAGGAGAATCTCTGGTCTCGAGTGTAAATCCCCGGGGCTCCTTGTTAGGTTAATGAAGAGGCTGTCTTCTTTTCCACTCTGTTTGATTTGATTGGCTTCTCTGGGGGCAGGAAGGCGATTCCGTTCGCTGTGGAGTGAGGATTTGCTTATCAGCAAAGGCACGGCACAAACCTGTGCTGAGGCACGACCTGGTGAGCGTGGCACGTGCTCTGTGTGTGGTGTTGAGCTGTCCTGGGCATTTTCAGAGCTGCAGGGCTCCTGCAAAGAGGATTCATGGATACAGGGCCATAGGGCTGGGGTTCATGTGATGAACACAGAGGAGAGGGCAGCGTGTAATGCTGAGCACGGAAGGGTGACACAACAATATGCACAGGCTGAATATTCAGCCATGGCATTCAGATCTGGACCCTGTAGAACACGTGTGTAGACCATACAACAGAGCAAATACACAGCTCAAAATGTGTGGTGTGTGCCAGTGCTGTGACAGGCAGTCAGGACAGACCACCCAACCCGGCACTGGATGGCTGCTGGACTCATGGACATGTCCATCCCACCAGCATGTGCTGCAGAACAGCTGGGATCACCCCCTTCTCCCCCGTGGAACCAGCAGAGTAGCTCATTACATTAAGAGCCTGACGTATTTTTATGATTATGACGGGATTGTCTCAGCAGCATTTGTAAGGTGAGGGGTCACACTGGGGTTTTGGGCGGGCAGGGGGAGAGGAGGCGCCTGCACGGACAAGACTCGCTCGTGTAACACTGACAAGACAAAACTTGGTGTATTTTTGGATTGTCTCCACACCACAGGGCCCCGGCTGGGCTATAAATTATTAGCGCCAGTACAAAGCACAGTTTATCTGTGGGCTCACATGGAGGCACCAATAACATTAATAATTTAAAAAATGTTAATAATTTAGAAAAAAAATTTTTTTTTTAATTGCTTTTCAGCCCCCCCCCTCCCCTCCCCTCCCCTCCTCCGCCCCCGTTCTCCCAGTGGCATTCATCCCACATTCTGAATTCAGTCTGTCTCCGTGCCTGGAACCTCCATCCGCCAGCATCCCACTGTCAATCAATCTGATTTCCCAACTGTCAGAGTGCAGGATTGTAAATAACAGATCCTGGGGGAGAGGGGGGGGTGTGGGCCTGGGCGAGGGGGTAGGGGCGCAGGGGAGGGGAGGAGCGGGGAGAACGCGGCGAGGAGAGGGTGGGTGTGCAGGGGGTTGTTGCGGTCATTCAGGATCAATGCAGCTCCTGGAACTGGCTGCACGCCAGACTTCTAAATTACAGGCGCTGTGGCGACGAGGAGTGACCTGGGTTTTTCAGATAATTAATTTATAAACATTTCGAGGTGCACGGCCCCTGGCTGGGCGAGTTCTCTGGGCTTTTTTTTTTTTTTTTTTTTTTTTTCCGTGATCCGATGGGGTTTGGCGTTCCTTACGTGCCCCTGCAGTTCAGAAGCTGTCATTTTAAGGGTTGTCCCCTCATCTGGGGGTGTGGGGACAGGGACTGTGCACATGGGAGTGTGGCTGGAAATTCAGGCACCGGTGCCTTCCTCACTGCCAGCAGAAACAGCAGCTGTGCAAGTGTTTCCACCCCAACCACGGGGCTTCAGCCCTGACCGTCACCAAAATGCTGGATGATGTGACTGAGGAAGCTCAGGCTGGGCTGATAGAGATGTGGGTTTCTGGGATTTCCAGAACTGAAGGAAAGCAGCATGGTGGTATAAAGGAAGGCAGGGAGATGGGAAGTCTGTCATCACCAGGGTCGTGCATTGTTCTTACGGTAACCTGGCTTTACTAATCCGTTGTGGGAAGAGGATGGATGTGCTGCTGGACGTGTGGAGGGCTTTGCAATCTCAGTATGCAAGCTGATCCTGCCCAGGGTGTGTGTTCACTGAGATAAATCTCCTGCTGTCCCCAGCTGTGTTTTGGTTTCCTTTTGCAGCCTGGTGCACGGTGAGCACATGAGGGAGGTGTACTCTGAGTGTGCTCTTGTGTGTACCCTGTGAATGTCAGCAGAGGTTTTGTTGTGGGATGTAAGTTGTGTATGGGGTGTTTTTATATAGATACAGGGACTAAGGGACTCCTGATGATTAACTGGGAGAGAGGAGCACTCTGGAAAAGCTTCTCTCAGTGTGACTGGTATGGGTGCCCATGTCACAAGTGCTTGTTACACATCAGCTGTACCTGCTGCATCACCTGCTCCTCCTTGGGGCTTGCTGTGATCCCCTTTAGTGGTGCCTGAGGTGATTGTGGCTATGCCTGCACTGTCCATCACGCAGCCCCTGTGTGGGCAGCTCGTCTGTGCTGACACCTGCCCTGGAGAGACTGTACAAGTGTATAACCTGTCACTGCACAGGTGTCACTGTAGGGTGACACAGGCCACAGGTTCTGCAGCGGTGCCAGGGCAGCACAGGTTTAATGAGGGGCGCGTTTCTGACCTGCAGCTGATGTCTGATGGAAGTGTTGTGCCTGAGGCTGGAGGGGCCCCTCCTGTACCCCGTCCTCCTCTGCTTTGTGACCAGGCCCTTCCCGTTCCTACAGCAGAGCTGTGCCAGGCAGACACAGACCCTGCAGGGCCAACCCTCACCCCTTGCCAAGGGGAGGCCACAGCATCCCCCAGGATGTGGGTGGCTGTCTGGGGGGGCCACCATGCTTGGGAAAACAGCCCTGGCTGCTCCAGCTGCTGCGGCCCCGCTGCCAGGCTGTCCCTGGGAGCAGGGATGGGTGTTCCCCGGGCAGGGAGTCAGGTGTGGATTAAGGGACTACCCAGGGAAGTGGCCCCCTGTTCCCTGCATTCAGCAGCAGCTGGAGGTGCTGGGCTGTGGTTTCGGGGGGGGAGGCTGTCCCGACGGGGGCAGAGCACACGCGGCAAACCCCGCGGCCCCCGGGGGAGCCCCCATAACCTCGGCAGAGCCCAGCGGGGGCTCCGGGGGGCGGAGGGAGCGCGGCAGGGACGGGGCAGGTGCCACCGCGGCTCCGCTCGGGACCGACCCGGAGGCTCCGCGCCCGCGGAGAGGGGGCAGACGGCAATTTGGGGAGATCCTCCCCACACCCATCCATCCATCCGTCCATCCTTCTCTCCCTTTTTTCCCCCCCTCCTTCCCTCCCTCCTTCCCTCCGGCAGGAAGGCAATTAAACAGCAAATCCACCCCCCCCACCACCCCTCCCTCCTTCCCTCCCTCTCTCTCCCTCCCGTAGTTGCACAATTTCCTCCGCTGCCAAACTCCCTCGGCGGCGGAGGCGGATCCCGCCAAGAGCAGCCCGAGCCCGCTCCGCCGTGTGAGTACCGGGGCAGCCCCTGCCGGAGCCCCGGAGCCGCGGGGATGGGCGGCACGGCGTGGGGGGGAATCAGCTGTCGCCCGAGGGGCTGCGGGCACGGCCAGGAGCATCCCCGGGGCAGCGCTGTCGCCCGCGGGGAGCCCGGAGCATCCCCGGAGCAGCCCCCGCGGCGGGGACGGGCGGGCAGCGGGTGTTTCTTCTGCCCGTCCATCCGCGGGGCTGGGGCGAGGGGAGGGGGGGTTTGTGCGGGGGGTCGATGCCGGGGGCAGGCAGCTCATCCCTTCCTTCCTTATCCCAGATCTCCTGCGGGCGCGGCAAGAGGTGGCGGCGGCGGCGCGGAACCCCGGCGCGATGGAAGCGCACATCCCCTCGGCCAGCAACTCTTCCAGCCAGCGGAGGAAGCAGGGCCTCCCCCAGCACAGGGACACCCACTTCCCCGAGAGGTACCGTGGGGACGGGTCACCCCCCACCCCTTCCCGGGGCGGGGTTTGGTGGGGGGGGGCATGGGGGCTTCGCGCCGGTGGCACCCTCAGGAAAGGCTGGGAAAGGCTGGCACGGGTGTCCTGGGGGTGCGGGAGGGGAGGGAGTGCCTGGGCCAAGCATTGGAAGAGGCTGCCTGGGGAAGTGGTGGAGTTACCGTCCCTGGAAGTGTTCGAAAAACTTGTGGATGTGGCGCTTTGGGGACGGGAAGTGGACAGGGAAGTGTCAGGTTAACAGTTGGAGGGCTTTTCCAGCCTTAAGGATTCTGTTCTTCTGTGCAGTGCCCCAGGGGTTGGGCAGGGTTGGTTTGCCCGGGTAAGGTGTGAGTGTCTCCCCTGGGCGTTGTGCAGGTGCAGAAGTTGGTGGGGGCTGTTCTATCCCATGCTGGGATGTCTCTATGGAAAAGGGAGTGATAGGCTTGGGCACACGTGCATCCACATCCAGGTGAGCCACTGTCTGGCTGGAATGATCCCAATCCTGCCCTGGATCTCCAGAGCAGATGCCAATTTAACCTGTTCTTTGGCCAAGAGCAAGTTAAGGTGTTTAACTTTGCGTTTTGCAGCATCCCTGGATGAGAGAGAACAAATGCTCTCAGATGGAATAGAAAGAGAAGTTTTGTTTTTTTTTTAAGGAAAAGAGGCACAGCTTGCCTTTACCACTGCTAGGAGTGCTGGAAAGCTGATATTCCCCCCACTCTCCCTTTCCCCCCAGGAAATTCTAGCTCATTTATCTTGCTCTGTGCCACGAGCCATTCCCTCTGCAATCAAGAACTTCAGAGGGAAATTAAATTAAAGCTGTGTGCGTTTCTGACACACAGGGATAGCAGAGGCGGGAAAGGGCCACGGGGATGCAAAGGCTCAGGATATCACGGGACAAGCCGTGAAAGACTCTGGTATTCAGACTTTTTTTGGCTTTCCTGAGGGGGTGGGTGCAGAGCAGGCTGCAGCATCACTTCTGTAGCACGTGTATGTATGTGTTGAGTCCAGAGTTTTCCCCCCCCACATTTATAGCCTTGGAGATCCATCTTTTTTTTTTTTTTTTTTTCTTTTCCCTCCTTGTTTTTCCTTCTCTCCCACCAGTGCCTTTGCAATGTGTAGGGGCTGGGCAGACCTGGTGAACCCTTCTCCTCCTGCAGGGTGTACTTTGGCTAACCCGCCTCACAAAGTGCAGCCCGATCCGTGCGGGTTGCAGGCAGACCTGGGAGGAATGCAGGGATCCACGGCTTTCAGCGCAGCCAGTCAGCAGGAACGTTCCTCCAGCGCTGTGTGGCCTGGAGAGGTGCCAGGCCAGCCGGAGGCCCGGCTGGAAAGGCATGTAGGGGAAGGGTGGAGGCTTCTGACGGGGAGGTGCTGCTCGCAGGAGGGGCAAACCGAAAATGGGCTCCATGTGTATCAGACCCAGGGGCAGGTGCTGTAGGTAGTGGAGCTGGGCTAGGCCAGGAAATCTGGTTTGGGAAGAGCAGAGAGAAGTTGCTCACTAGCTCAGGGGACAGAGAGTGAAGGCCAGGAGTTGATTATTGGAACAAGCCACCACTTTTCATCTTGGTTCGGTTCCCCAAGTAGCCCTGGGAATAGTTGCATTGGTGTGGGAGCGACATCCTGGTGAGCTGAGGAGAAGGGAGGAACACACAGGGGCACAACCTGCCTTTGATGTCAAGAGGAACACCTGTGGGACCTTGGAATAGGTCTGCAGGAGTCACTCAGTGTCTCAGTGTCCCTTGTTGCTCGGTGACAGTGGGTCTCATCTTGAAAGCAAGGTTGTAGTTTGGCATTTGGGAAGGCTTTTGAGTGGCTCGGTTTTTCAAGAGCAGTGTAGTGTGGTAAGTTGTGTGGAGCAAGGATATTTGCCCCCACTTGTAAAGGTCTGGTTATTTGGCTGTGAGCAAGACCAGCCCGTGGCTGTGTTGGTGGGCACGAAACAAAAAAAGCTGGTTTTTGCTTGTTTTTTTTTTTTTGTTCACTCTGTGGTCTCGTTTCTGTCCAAGAGCTTGCAGGCTGAAATAAGGCTCACAGCAGGTTATCAACCAGGCTGTTGTTTTCTCTCAGCGCTCCCAGCTCCGACTCTACATCCAGGACCTGCTCTTGTTCCTGGGCAGAGTCCAGGAGACAAACCACATTGAAACATCCCCCTGGTGTGGGCCTGGCTGGGCACATCCTGTGCTCCCTTCCTCTGCCATCCTGAGACATGGCAAGACCAGGCTGTTTTTGGTTTCTGCAGCCACCTGCTCCCACAGGGAGGGTGTGGTGACGTCCTGCGTGGCCACCCACCTTGGCCAGGCTCTCAGGTGTAATAATCCTTGGTTAGCAGAGCTGGGGAAACCTGCTGGGAAATGGGAATCTACCACTGTCCCCACAGTCATGACTTGGTAAGTCTACTTGGCATGGTTTGTGGATGGACCCATCCCTTGGTCCAAGGCCAAGCTGGATGGAGTTGTGAGCAACCTGCTCTAGTGCGTGGGAAGGTGATGATTTTTAAGGTCTCTTCCAACCCAAACCATTCTATGATTGGTTCAAAAGGTTGTTAATCCTCCCCAGAGCTCTGCAGCCACCTGAGCATCACTGGGGGTCCACTTGCATCCCTCTGCTCCCGCTCAGAAGTGACCTGTTCGGAGCTGTCCTGTGCAAACTGTTCCTGGCTGTTCAGCCAAAACCCCCACGGGTGTTTTTAGGAGTGCCAGGAGAAGCTGTGGCCGTGTGTTATGGAGCAGTCAAGTTCTGTGTGGGGTAATTTCTCCCTTCCACTCCCTGCTAGCCTTGGGTTTTGTGCTTGCCTGCCATGGTCTTTGCCAACAGGGTAAATCACAGCAGCCTCTGTGCACCTTTATTATGAAGGTACAGAATTTTCCAGAGGTTCAGGTGGGCGCTGACAGAGGAGGAGGCAGTGGAAGAAGCTGCTTCATGTTCGTAGGCAAAACTGTGGGTAGATTTACAGCGTCTCCTTTCCCAGGAGCAGAAGTAATAACACATGATGCAGGGGGATGTGAACTGTTTGGCATGGTGTTAAAATTCCATTTCAGCTTCCTATCGGGAGATCTGTGGGGATCAGGTCAGCTCTCAGGTGCAGCAGCTTTGTGGGCAGGAATAATTAGTCACTTCAACCATTATGTCTGGCAAAGCAAGGCGGGGGGGGGAACCTACACTGGTGACCCAGTTTTATTCATCAGGGCAGCGCTGATGTTTTTGCAAAGACAGGAATGCAGAGAACTTGCCTGATAATGAGAACTACACATACAGTTTTTCCTGTTTCCAATGGCGAGGGTGGGTCTGAGACAGGGAACAGTTGGGAAGATGGGTGCGTTCAGGCGTTCATCAACTAATTATCACCCATTTTTGCTGGTCAGAAACGGGCTGGGAGGTTTAATGACACTAAGGACAAGGCAGGCAGGTGAGTAGTGGCTTTGAGGGGATGATACACAAACACATGGATGTGGATTTTCTTGGCAGGGTGGACCCCTCACCTCTTTGCTCCAGCGAAGAGTTAGTAAAACTGAGACATCTTGCCAAGAGCAGACTCAGGCCACAGGCAGGAGAACCCACTTGGTTGCATGGATTGGGTTTCCTAGATCCTTCCTAGATGGATTCAGACTCGGATTACGGAGTGCCAGGGCCTGGTGGTTCGTTTGAAAGGATTGTTGAGCTCAGCGTTATAAAAAGACTTGGAAGAGGAAAGGGAACAACTGAAAGGTGCCACTGTAGCTGCTCCAGCCTGGAGCACTTCCCGCCTCCGAACTGCTGCGTCTCCTGCAGGAATGGCAGATGTCTGTGCCCTGCAGAGCTTCTTGGATCCCACCCCCTGGATCCTGTCTCCAAGCTTTGCTGGCAGCGTGCTTGGTTTCGCTGGGGTCGTTTAGCCTGGCGTGTTCTCACCCAAGGCGCTCGTCTCGGTGCCTCTCTGCGAGCAGGCTGGTGTGTGTGTGTGTGTGTGTGTGGATCCTGGGGGACACTTGTGTTCTCCCCCTTGAAGGAAACTCTTTCATGCCCTGCAAACAGAAGGAACTGGCTGGGTGGGAGCAGTGGGGTGAAGCTCGTTGGGTTGAATATGATGCGTCAGTTCTGGGTTAGGAGCTGTGAGGAGCTCGTTCTCGTGCCTGCGGTGTGGGGTCTGGGGGGGATGGGGACCTGCCCCTCTCTTGAGCCTGGTCAGAGGAAGAGCAGGAGTTGAGGCAGGTCTGGGTACAAGCCCTCAGCTGGCTCTGGGGCTGTCTGTGTCCAGCATTAGGGGCACAGTTCATCCTCCGGGACCACAGGCAGTTACAGGGGAATGCCAAGGAACAAGAAAGACTGCCTGCCTGAGATGCCATCAGCATCCTCATCTCCAGGGTCCTGGGAAGCTGAGCCCTTTGGCTGGAGTGTTCTGGGAATGGGAGCCACAGAGTCTCAGAGAGGCTCTCAAGGCCCTTCCCTTGCAGAGCTGACAGACATTGTGCATCAGCCAGAGGCTTTCTCTGAGCAGAGATGTGCCCAAAATACCCAGCAAGGATTTTTGGATGGAGTTCTTTCCATCTGCTGTTGCTACAATTTGTTCTTTCACCACCTAATTCCTCCCCCCTGTTTTTTTGGAGGCTTTCCTTTTCACTCCTGGCTCCTCGGGCACATCCTCCTGTGCTCTCTGGGCACTGTCTCTCTCCTCCTCTTACCCACCCCAAGCCTTGCATCCCCCTCTCTGCTCTGAATATTCTGATTTTTGATCCTCAGCAGATCCCAGCTGGCTGAATGTTATGAAGAGCAAAGGCCAAAGAGCTTTGACCCGATTTAACTAATTTGGTTTTAGCACCAGTTTGGATTTTGAGGGGAGAGATTTCCCTGGGCAGCACAAACCAGGCCGTCTCTCCGTGTCCAGACCTCGTTGCTGCCCTAGAAGGGCAGCTCCAGCGCGTGTCTTTTCCTGCCTGGAAATCCCAAACACCATTTTTAGAAAGCCCCTTTCATTTTATTTATTTTTCCCTTCCTGGCACTGTGTCTGGGGATGGCAGAGCAGCGAGGAGCTGTGTGCTGCCTGCCTATTACCTCGGGTTTAAAGTGTCTCTTCCTATCAAATGCAGAGCAGGAGAAAGCAGAGCTTTCATGCATTCTTTTTTTTTTTTTTTCCCCCCTCTTCTTCCATCCGTTCTAAATTTATTTCCATGCCTTGCCGGTTTCAATCTGCATTTCCTGACCCTCTCACATCTCCAGTCACAGCCTGTGCTCCGAGCCTTCCCTTGGAAGCTTGGATGGAGTCAGGGGGGGAGCACTGCTCTGGGCTTGGGAGGATATGATGGGGTTAAAGTGAAAGGCTTGGTTTTAACAGTATAATGTGTAACCCCATAATGACTTTAAATATTGATTATTTGAAGGCCATTAGTGCTTATTGTTAAAGAAAAGTCAATACTTTTTAAGCCTTGTGAACCATTTGTCTCCTGTTAAAGGACATATCAAATTTAGCAGCATGCAGTGCAAATCCCCTAATACCCTGCTCACAAGCCTCCAGCTGGCATATTAGGGGGGGAAAAAAAAGAAAAGGGGGTTGGGGGGGAGGAATATGCAGTAACACAGAACTGCTCTCTGCAAGGTAAGGACAAGGCTTATCAGATATAATTGCCAGGGGCTGAATTCAGGTTCTCAGAATGTGGGGCTGTAATTCTGCCCTTTGAGTGGTGGAGGAAGAGGAGGAAGGAATTTAATGGAGGGGTTGAAGGCTGGTACATACCTGGGAAAGGATGCAAGGATTAGTGTTGTGGTGCATGCCTGTCTAAAAGCACAGCAGCCCTTGTTAAAGTCTCCGGGGCTTTTTACTCCTCGGGCTGCCAGTTCTTTTCCAAGCTGGCTGGGAAGCAAATTGGCTGTATCTGCACCAGGCAGCCTGGGAGGGCTTCCCAGCTCCGTGCCAGGACACGACCTGGTGGTACTGCCTCCCTCCTGTGCCAGGTCTCCGTGCCAAATACCAGGCAGATGGGCTGGGAGGGAGCAGTGGCAGGCTCCAACAGGTTCTGTGTCCAGAGGGTTGGGTTTGTGGGATGGCAGGAAGCGTCTGTCCACGGTCTCACGCAGAGGTGAGATGCTCCTCAGGGCACTGCAGCAGGAGCTGTGGAGCAGCAGGATGCCTGCAGGGAGAAGAGTCCCTTGTTTCCTAAATATTTATGAGCACGCCTGCTGGCTTTTTGAGCTCTCTGCTGCTGGGGATTGATGCTGAGCATCGGGGGGGACACAGCAGGAGAGGTGCAGCGACCCTTTCGTGTTGGGCCATCTGCAGCCTCCCTTCTCTGACTTCAGGCCAGGCTCCAGGGGTGTGGTGTGGGACCTCGGGCTGCTCCTGTTCCTTTGGCCTCACCAGCAGTGCTTCCCTGTGGTGGGAGTGTTTGGTGGGGGAGCTCCAGGGCTGCTGAGAGGACAGTGCTGGGGTCTCTGTGTTCCGCTGTGTCAGGCAGGCACGATGACAGCACGTGTGAATGTGCCTCGCTGAATTTTTCAAGCCTTTGGTCTCATCCCCAGCGTGTGTTGGTGGGTGTGGAACGGAGGCAGCACCTGACTTCTCAGTCTGAAGTCACCCCTGCTGTGCTCAGCCCTGTTTTTGCCACTGGGGCTGGGAGCTTTATCCCTTTGCTACATCCCTTTCCCCACCCAGGCACCCCTCACTGGCCAGCCCAAACCAGGGGCTGATCCCAAGCCCCAGAAGGCAGGGAAAGCTCCGAGGAGAGGACTGAGGGAAGGAACTGCAGAGGGTCTCGATCAGATGTGAATTCCTTAGGGATCAAAGTTATGCCCATTAGCACAACATTAAAGCATAAAAACAACCTCTGATAAACACCGGGCTGTGACCAAAGGGGGAACCTTTTATTTCCCAGTGCCCAGTCCTGATCCCCATCAAACACTCTGCTTCCTGGGCACAGATTGTGTGTTCTTGGCCAAAATCAAGAGGCTCCTTTGTTTCTAGCATCCCCTTTGGGCTGCCCCCACCTGGGGCTTCGGGACCCTCCTGCAGGACCCCCCCTTTTTCTGCATCTTGACGGGGCGAGGCTGCTCGGCCCGGCCACCCAACGGTTAAAAAGCGACTCGATTTCCCTAAATTGCTTCTTATAAAACGAACAGCACGTCTGCCCGGGCTCGTCTCCCCGTGATTACAGCTAATTACGATCGAGCGGACACCTCGGAGCCCCCGTCACGCCGCTTTAATTGTCCGTTATTCATCCGCGGGGCTGTCCGGGGTGGCAAAAAAGCACTTGGCAGCCCCGGCGACCGGGGGGCCTCGGCTAATTGTGAGGCCTCGGGGATTAGGGCAGGTGATTACACACTTCATGGTGTAATTACATAAGCATCGCTTGGCTGCTGCCCCGGCTCGGAGCCGAAGGTCAGGCGCTGCGTTACCTGAGATTAATTGGAGCTGCCAGCGGAGTGCGAGGTGCTGGCGGAGCGGTTATACGATTAGCATTAACATTTCAACAGCGACCGATCGATCCGTGGCTCTCCTCCAGACACAGCGAGCTGTGCAATTAGTTTAGAGGAGAGCTAGGGGAGGGAAGGAGGAGGAGGAGGAGGAGGGAAGAAGGAGAGCCGCGGAGGCAGCCAGGGGAAAGGAGAAAGGGGAGGAAGAGACGGGCAAGGGGGTAAGCCAGGAGGAATTTTGGAGGGGGATCTCAGCCGTGGATCAGCGTTTTGTAGTGGCTGTTGCACAGAGCGGGGATAAAACCACACTGGGAAGATCTCTCCTTGCCCACCTCGTCCCCCAAAGAGTCCTTGTCTGGCTTTTCACGGTGTTAATCCAACCCCAACCGCATGGGACAGCTGGGGGTCCTCATCCCAACCCTCCCGTGTCACCTGTCACCCCCTCTCTGAAATGGGCAGCGTGGTTGTGCGTGTGGTCTGTTTGATGCAAAGTCACAGGCACCTTCTGGCTCCCTTTCTCTTGCCCTCCAGTCTCTCCCGAAGCAGATTTTGCAGGGAGATACTGTAAAATGAAAATAAACGGCACAGCACTTGGCTTTGCCTCTGGATGCCCTGGTGAAGGTAATAATGTTGTAAGTGGCCATCAAAAGGAATTAAGAGACGTGCAGCCGGAAAGCAGATTTGCTTGCAGGCTCCCAGGGCAGATTTGACTAATGGAAGAGACCTTGGCTCTTATTCCCTTCCTGCCTTTTTTTTTCTTTCTTTCTTTTTTTTGCCTTTTCCCCCCTCCTGCTGCAAGCAAGTGCTACCTGCCTTGCTTCCAGGCATTGTCCCCTTCCCACCACTCAAACCTGCCTCCTCCAGCTGACTTACCACCTGGCATCTGCTCTACCCATTCTGGCCAGCATCACCCACCCCTGCACCAGCAAGGCTCCTTCCCGCTGGCCCCATGGCACTTCCACATCCCTCTCTCCATCTCTCCTGCCTGTGCCTCCTGAGCCGGGGCCCTTTGGGTGGAGCCTCCACCAGGTTTTCAATGTACTCTTTATTTTCTGATTTCTGCAGGGAGATATCCCACCCACCGCCTCTGCTCTCACCCCAGAACGCTCCCCACATTGCCCTGGGGCCCCACTTGAGACCTCCCTTCCTCGGGGTGCCTTCGGCGCTGTGCCAGACGCCAGGTGAGTGCACAGGTAACGCTTGGGGGCAGCCAGGGCGGGCTGAGACAAACTGACCTCCACCCAAACAGCCCAGACACACTTTCTGTGTCTCCCCCTGACTGTTGTGCTGACTTCACACCTGGTTTTGCAGCAGCAGGAGCAGTTGCCTTGGCTGCCCTTTCCTTTAGTCCCCACCAACCTCCCTGTGTCCTGTGTTTCAACCACAGGCTGTGCTGCTGTGGGAGTGAGGATGGGCTCTAGAGCAGAAAGCAGCACTCAGTTGCCCTTTTCTTTCTAAGCCAGCCCTCTGGAGAGCTGGCCTGGGGTAGCAAAGGGTCAGTGCTGAGATAAAATAACCCCAGAGTGGTGGTGTTCTCTCTGTCCCCAGGTTACGGGTTCCTCCAGCCGGCACAAGCAGAGATGTTTGCACGGCAGCAGGAGATGCTACGAAAGCAAAACCTGGCCAGGTGAGAGTGGGAGAGGGCTGGATTTTTCCTTTCCTTTCCCAGCAGCAGGCAGAGTAACGTGGGGTGGGTGCTGTGTGGGGTGAGCAGTGCCCAGGTGACAGAGCAGTGTCCAAGTGAGACCAGGGGAAACACTGTGTGGGTGTGGAGCACAGATAAAGTGGGACTGACACACAGAATTCTCCCAGAAGGAAGAGAAGGCATGTTCATCCTGTGATGTTGGATCTAGTCCCATGAAACGCACCATTAATGGCATAAGGCAAAACCAAATACTCCCTTCACAAGCAAGATTGGCAGCATCACATTATCTAACACATTAAGCCCAGCCCAAGACATGAAAGTAGCAAGTCCTAATACAGGTCATTGCTGCATTATGATGATCACACATTGCAGAGGAAAGTCCAAGCAAGAAGTCTGGCGCTCTGTAACAGGACATTTAAAAATAACTCCGTTTGGAAAGGGATCTGGTTTGGAATATTTTCACACTTACTGCGCATTTGTTTACTAGATCAGAACCTTCAGTGGAGAGGGGAAAAATTACCAGAGGAAAATTCACACAGTCACAGGAATGTTAATATTTGCTCTGAAAGATCCCCTAGCCTTGTCCTGGACCTCTCCATGCCCACCCCACCTGCACTGTGGTTTTCTTAAGGCTGAGGGCACCCTTACATGACGCGGCTGGGGTGAACCAGCAAGGTGTCTCAGCGAGGATGGGGGTAAAAAGTCACTGCCAACGTTATCCCCTCTGCCTCTCCCCACCCAGGCTGGAGATGTCGGCCGAGATCATCCGCCAGAAGGAGCTGGAGAACCTCCACCGCCAGAGGCTGCTGGCCGGCGACCCCCTGAGCCTGCACCCGGGGCTGCCCCCGGACCACCCGGCCCTGCGCAACGTGCACGACATCCCCGAGGGGCACCCGCTGCGGGAGGAGCTGTCCCGGCGGAACGCCATGCTGGTGCTGCGGCACAACAACACCCCGCTGCTGTCCCTCAACCCCGCCGTGCCCGGCGCCAGCTCCTCCACGCCGCCCAAGGAGCAGCCCCGGCGGGGCAGCCGGAAAGCCGCGCAGCACCGCGCCGAGCCCCAGGGCGCCGGCGAGGCCAAGGAGCCGGCGGAGCCCCGGGCGCGGGACGGGGCCCAGGACTGTAACGACGAGGAGATGAAGGACTCGGAGAGCGACGCCGACGTGAGCGACGAGAAGCCCGAGAGCCTGAAGGCCGAGGGTGGTGGCGGCGGCGGCGGCTCGGCCGCGGAGCTCAAGGAGTGCAAGGAGGCGGGCAAGGCGTGCGAGGGGGCCAAGGAGATGGGCGAGGCGGGCGCTGCCCAGAATGCCCCCTGCAGCTCCTCGAGCGCCGAGTCCCCCAGCCACCTGCTCGGCCCGGGCATCAACAAGGCCGAGGTGAAGTACCTCCCGCCGGCCTCCATCCCGCCGCCTCAGCCGCTGCCCTTCGGGTTCCCCTACACCATGAGCCCCTACTTCCACGCGGGTGAGTGCGCCAGGCACGCGTTTTGCAGCTCTTCCCTCCCCCCCCCACCTCTCGTTCCGCAGCGTGGTTGCAAGTTTTGCTGTCTCAACTTTTCGTCGTTTTCCTCAAAAGGAAAGTTTGGGGGTTTTTTTTTCGTGTTAAATGTTGGAATGGGGTGCCCGGAGGAGGTGGTGGAGCGCCCATCCCTGAAGGTGTTCAAGGAGCGTGGCAGTCAGGGCTCTGGTCTGGTTGACAAGGTGGGGATTGTTCAGAGGTTGGGCTTGATGGTCTTGGAGGTCTTCTCCAACCTCGGTGATTCTGTGCTTCTCTGCAGGGAACCAAAAACCTTCTTTTAATTAATACGAAGGACTCCTGTGTTTGCAGTGAAGCAAATCAAGGGCCATAAAAAGAGTGACCAGCAGGGACGGAGTGGGCACATGAGAAGGGAAATCCCCAAAATGATGGACTAAGGGATCTTGCAGTTGCTTGGGCCTCCTTTGGCACCTTGGACAGACACCAATAAATTACAGAATGCTTCAGGGAGAGTCAGAGTAACCACTGCTGTGCCCCTTTTCCAGGGCAGAGGTGGATGGGTTCCTTCCCCTGCCTGTGGTGTATTACTCTGTGTCACAGGCACTGGGATAGCTGGATTGGTTCCTGTTGGGTGGCACAGGCAGGCAGGGAATTCACTGTGGTTCCCACTGGCACAGTCCCTTGGGCAGCAAAGGCACAGCCGGAGCAGGGTGGTGCAAAGTAGGGGGGGCTCAAAGCCTGGTAGCTGGGCAGGGCAGGGTGCCAGGAGCCAAAATCTGCCTCAGCTAATTACTTGACTGAGCAATTAGCAGGAGGTGGGACCTCCTGCCTCATGGAGGAGGGAGAGAGGGGGGGACGTGGCATGTGGGTCTCCAAGGCTGCCTGTTCTCCGTGCAAAGAGCGACCGTGGCTGCCCATCACTCATTAGAGAGCTGCCTTCCAACCAGGGAGGAGGAAGTGATTTTTCTGTGACAGGCAGGTGGCCAGGATGATAAATATTCCTGCTGCCTTGGGCTGCTGAGGCTTCCTCGCAGGAGCCTTTTTCTCCCGGCCATTAAAAGGGGAAAGGCGCGGCTCCGTGGTGCTCGTGGCTTGTGTGAGGCTCTGCAGGGAGGCCTGGGATGTGGATGGGTTTCCTCCCTCCCCCCAGCAATGTGTGAGTTACTGTAATAGGCCATTTATTATTATCACTTCGAATTTATATCACCGCCGTGTCTTGGGGCCCCGGCGCAGATTCAGGGCTGTGTTTCACTGCCCGGTTTTCAGGCACTTCTGATTTGTAGAGCCTGTTCCAGGGCTGTAGGTCTTTTCCTGAGGGCTCTTTGGCTTCTGGCTGGCTTCACACGGTGCTGGGGCTGTTAATCCTGCCCGCCTGCGGGGTTCAGGCCCCGTTGTGCTCAGCTCCATAGCAGAACCTCTCACCTGAAAAGCCTCGGGAAGACAGGGCGTCTTGTTCGATGCAGCACAGCGGGTCGATGGGGGAGCTGGGAGTCCAGCAACTGAAATATTGAGGGTTTCTATCGATCCAAGAGCTGCAGCGATCCCGGGGCGTGCTGGGGTGTAACGTGTGTCGGTGGAAAAACGCGTTCCTGTGGCCCTTGGGAGCACAGAGCACCCGAGGACAGACAGACCGGACTGAGCCCACCTCTCCCTGGCGCCAGACAATTCCTGTAACCCTGTTCTGCACAAAGACTGCTCTTTAGGCCCGGAGGGATGTGATGTTGTGCCCTGCACCGGAGGCTGGAATGATAAAGTGACCACCTAAGCAAGGCAGGTAACGTGGCAGGCCAAGAGGAAGAGCTGAGGTGGGGGGAAGCATCCAGCTGAAAATGACCCCTGAGTTTCAGGCGGTTCCTCTGGTCTTCCAGCAAAGGGAGGCTCCCCTGGAGGCAGAGAGCTGTTTTCTGTCCCTACTGGGAAGCATATCGATGAGGCAGCTGGAGCTGGGTCGATTCCCTGAGCTGCCTTCTGGGGATCTGGCGGCTGCTCGATGACCTCATCTCGTCAAGGTTTCAGCAGCCTTGCTCCCCCCCTCCTCCTCCTCCTCCTTCCTCCCACCTCCCTCCTCCAGCCCCGTCCTCTGGAAAAGGTGAAGGATGGAGTGTGCAGGAGGCTAAAATCCTTCTATTGATCCGCAGTCTGGAGAGCAATTAACGCAAGCCTTGCCGTGCCGCTCCGTGACCCCTCCGGCGGGAGGGAGGGAAGGGGGTTGCAGGCACGGGGAGAGGGGTTAGAGAGTGGTAGCAAAACTGATTAAAGCCATAGGTGGGCTGGCTTCCATGGGGGCTCGCTTTGTGTCTCCCAGCTGGCACCTGGATTCCGTCCTGTGATGCCAGGAGCACGGACTGGGATGTGTGGGTCCCGCTGCAGCCCGGCTGGTGGATCTGCAGCAGAGCTTTTTCCCTGGCTGGGACGGCCAGAAGGTTTGCTCCCCATGACCCCCTCCAGCCTTTGGCTTGTGTTCCTAGAGCAGCTGGATATGAGGAGGAGGGGAGGGGAAATTATAAATGGATTGCAGCATGGGTGGTGAGGGCTTTTACGTGGACACCTGTCCACACGACACCGGCCTGGGACGATGGATTCTTTCCAGTCCCCACACGCTGGGCCCCATCTGGTGAAACGCTCCGTAATCCATTACCAGCCTCTTGGACCATCATTTATCACGGGGCGAGACAGAGGAGGCCTGGCAGGGAATGGATGCTGCCCTTTATGCCTCCTCGCAGCCCCGCAGCAGCCGCTGACATGTCATTATTATAATCGAAGGTGCGTCCCTTCCAGCCGCTTGGCACCTATTTGTTATCATTCTCCGAGCTGCCAGAGCGGGCTGAGTGGATGCAGCCACGCACAGGGGTGGGAGCAGACGGTGCATTATCCTCCCAGGGAGGGACAGGAGGAAGGACAGGAGCCCTTTTGCTGTAGGGGACTGTAAAATTGGAAAGGACCGGTGTGCCGAGGGCTGGACCTGTACTCGTTGCAAGCCCGATGCACACTGAGGTGGAGGGACCGCTGTAATCAGCTGCAGAAATCCTTCTGGGGGTTGTTCCTGGTGGCTTTAGAGCTGAGGTGGGAGCAGAAGGGCAGAGGGGACACCTGGACACCAGGCTCTCCAACCCTGACTGCAGGGTGCTGAGTACTCACAACAGAACTGAGCCCATGGAGATACCAAGGCTGAGCTCTTCTGCAGTCACTCTTTGATTTTTGGTAGAGAGGGGGGGTCGTTTTGCCACTGATATTGGTGGAAATAGGTTTCCACCCTCTAGATTTTACACTCTGTGGCACAGAAATTGCTAACAGGCCAGAACCCAAAGTATTGGTATTTACCTTCCCCCTTCCCAAGAATATTTCCACCAGTAATTCCCTGGTATAAATGGGAAGGGAAAACAAACTCTGGGTGAGATAAATATTTTGGCCATATTATATTTCTCTGTGTGTGGGTACGTGGAAAATATTCCCATGCAGTGGGTTCTGCCTTGTCCTCAATCTGGACAGAGCAGGCTCTGTGTGTGTGTATGTTTGTGGGCATCCTGACCTCTCCCTTCCTTCTTCTGGGGCAGGAAGGAGACAAAGGAGAGAAAACCACAGAGGAGGGGAGGCTGCTGGAGGAACAGCGAGTTGTTGGCCCAGCTCTGCTGGCTGTGCCAGTGATGCTGAAAGTGATCCCTCATCCAGTGGGGTTCCAGGATAAGCAGGCACGTGTGCAGGAGAGGGATCCCTCCTCCCTGCCAGCTGTGGGAGCAGCATCTGGGCTGAATCCCTGCCCATGCTGGTGGGGACTGACCAGCCCCTCTCTGTGCAGGCTGAGCTTAAACCCTGAGCGTAGTTCAGGCTGGCTGGCGACTGGAGGGTTCATTCCCAAGCACTGTGTTGCTGGAATTCAGTCCTTGGCCTTGCTTTTGGAATAAGGAAGTACCTAATTTTGAAGCAGTTGGCTGTTGCAGTCGGATCCCCTCGGAGACGCTCTGGCTGCAGATGGAGGTGTCTCGCCCGAGCATTGACTGTGCCTGGAATAATCCGAGTTCAGTTTCCCTTCCTCTCTTTACCAGGCTGTAACCACTCTTCCAAAACGGAGGAAGAGAATTCCACCCCTCCCCTCACTCTGGAAAGAAAAATCCCCCCTCAAAATGAAAAAAAAAGTGGAGAAAAAAAAAAGCCCTCGGCCACCTGAGCATTTTGTGAATTTTAACACAAGCAGCTGAGAGTGTCTCCTGTAAGGTGGAATGTGATAGGAATGGCAATGAGGGCTCGTGTCCATCTGTCTGTCTGGTAGCTGGGGGTGACAAGGGGAAGGACAGTGCTGCTGGCCCTTTGGCAGTGGCTTCTTCCTTCACTTCCTGTGCTGATGGGCTCTTGCTCCCAGGAAAGCTGGTGGTTTTCTATTATTGGACACACAAAAGTATTTGAAGCTTTTTCTAGCTGGAAAAAAAAAAGATGTGAAGAGAATGAGGAGCTGCCTGGGCTCTGGCAGGGCTCAGGGTGGTGAGGAGGGAGCAGTGGGCCATCCCAGGAGCAGCAAAAAGAGCGTCTTGTGAGCCTGATCTGAGGCTGGAGGGGAGGGAACCTGTTCCTGTGGGAAGGAAAGGATGGGAAGGAGGTGTGAAAGGTCTGCTGGTTGCCCACAGTGAGTGGGCTGATGTGAAGTGCTGGAAAGGAGGGCTGCAAAGGTGTGGCCGAGTCCCTGGGGCACGGGGGGAGAGAGGGATGGGTAGAGCTGGCAGAGGCAGCAGCTGTCACAGGATCCCAGACTTGGGTGAAGTTGGAGGGACCGCTGGAGCTCCGTTGGTCCCAACTCCCTGCCCAAGCAGGATCTGAAAAAGCATGTTACTCTGGATTGTGTTGAGAGCCCTGAGGAGCTCCTGCCTCTCCTGCCTCTCCCTGTGGCTCCAGCCAAGACATTCTGGCACTGGAGCTGGCAATCCTCTGCGTGCACTGGCTGTGTGTGCAGGGGCAGTTTTGGGAGCTGTGGCTGGTCCCAGTAGTCCCTCTCTGTGAGGCTGCTGGTCCTGGAGCAATCAGTGCCCTGGGGGATGCACATGGACTGCCCAGAGCTGTGCAGGGGGTCGGGGGGCCGTGGTTTTGGGTGATGGAGACGGTGCTGTCACCTTGCCAGGAGCTGGTGGTGGTGGTGCAGCCCCGGGAAGGGCGCAGAGGGTGAGGCTGGGAAGGGAAGCAGGAAGCTGGGAGCGGAAATGGAGTGGAAGTGATTACATAGTGTCTGCCTGCTCCTTGGGCAGGCTGCTGTTGTTTTAAAAGCATCTTATTGGCATGATAACTTCCTATGGAGATCCTGTGCTTTTCCTGTTCCCTTGGATGTGCCTGGAGCTGTGGTGTGGGGCTCTGCTCCTTCTGCACCTCTTTCTATGCCTGTTCCCTCTGGCCTGCTGTGTTCCCCAGGGAATTGGCTACTCCTGGTCCTCTGGGTCTGTGGTTCCCACCATGACTTTGTTGGACCCTGCTTTACCTTGCCATTCCGTGGGGAAGGACTGTCCTGCCTGCTGTGGGCAGGGATGATGCTGCAGGAGGTCACAGCCACAGCCCTGTTCCAATCCATCAGGGAAAAACCCGAAGCCCACAGCACAGATAATTTTGTCATGACAGACCCCTGGGAGAAATATTTATTTCTGGTAGTGTCCTCCTTCGTGCCTTGAAGCAGAACAGTTCATAACCCCTCATAAACTCTCTGCCTGGTAATCCTGGATAATCCACGCCCCCTTTTTTATTTATTCCCCGTGCCTCCTCTCCGAGTCCCGTTTGGATTCCTCCCTGCACACACATCCCGTGCTGTCAGGCACTGGTGATGCAGGGCAGGTCGGTGTGGGGGCTCCTCCACCCTTTTTTTGGAGCCCATCACCTTCCTCGGTGCTGACAGGGCTGGGACCCGAAGCGCTGTTGCGTTTGGCAGCGCTGACACCTTGGCTCGCCCCGAGCCCTGTCACCCGTCACACACCTGGCCAGGAGAGATGCCCGCCAGATTCCGGGGGCAGAGCCACCCCTGGGATATTTCAGGCTGGGCTGGGTTGGAAAGGAAGGCTTGGAAAGAGCACGAGTTCCCCAGCGGTTCCCACCGCGCCGGGGGCCTGTTGTCATTCGGGGCACGTTGGCAGGAGAAGGGCTGGGGGAGAGGAACCCACAGGGCAAGGCAGAGTTTTCCGCTTTGTGGTGCCTGTGGAGAAACGCTCCTGCAGGGTTTGTGTGGTTTTTTTTTTTTTTTTTATTCTCTTCCCTCCCCTCCCCCCTATTTTTTCTCCCCCTGCAGCTGAAGAACATTAAACACATGAAATGCATTAGCTCGGATTTTTCCTTCTCCCCCCCCGGCCCCCCTCCCTAAGCCAGGGACCTCCAGGAGGAAGAGGCCTATGAATTGACCCTGCCCAGTGCTTTAATTGACAGGTCATTAAAGATGAATGTGTGGCTGGAGAAAAATATTCAGATTGCAGGCTAGTTGTTGTCCGTGTGGGATTTTAATGATTTATGTTTCTTTCTCCTCCCCTCCTTCCTACTCCCCCCCCTCCCCTTTCCATCCTCCTCGACTCCAAACAATCCAGGCACCATGGGAGGTCTGTTTCTGGATGGTGAGGAGAGCCCTGCGCTGGAAGACATCAGCAAATGGACGGTGGAGGATGTTTGCAGCTTCGTGTCCAACTTGTCTGGCTGCACCGAGTACACTCAGGTAAATCTGAGCAGGCTCAAGAACGTCCCTGGAGGAGGAACATCCTCCCTGTGAGCCCCCCTTCTCTCCCTGCCTGTTGTACTCCCAGGAGGTGCATCTCAGAGCCCTTGCAGGGCTTGAAGCTCTGTGGGGTTTTTTTTCCAAGGGGATTGCTAAACTTGCTGCTGGTGCAGAGCTTGAGAAGGTGTGCGATCAGTGTGCCACTGAGGGATGCTCCAAGGCCACGGGTTCCTGGGCAGCTTGGGAAAGGATGTAGTGTGCTAAGAACAGGTCTGGAAAGGGAGAATGTTAATCCCATCCCAACATGCTTTGTTAAAACTACCTGGAAAACCAGTGCTGCTTTGGAGCAAACAGCTGTGCTGGGGGAGAAGAGGAGGGGAAGGGAATGTTCACTGTGGAGATTGGGGGACATGTAACCGTCCCCAGGTGGAGTGACAGGAATTTGGTCTGTGCTGAGGAGTGGATCAGGGTGAGTGGAGTGCCCTTCCACTGGTGGTGTGGTGGTTTATCTGAACCAGGCCAGTGGAAAATGTGCAGGAATCTTTAACACCCCCCCCATCCCCCTCGCAGCAGGATCACCCATTTACACCTTCCACGCCATCCTGGTGCACCAGAGGGGGAGGAATCAAGAGCTGGGGTTCAGAACACAATCTCCCCAGTGCATTCCAAACAAAATGTTTAAGGGAGATGGGAGCTGCTGCAAACGCCCCCCTGGCCACGTTGCTTGGAGTGGGAGTTCGAGGCTTTAAGAGGTGATATTCTTCGTGCCACAGTTGAGTGTTTAACAGGTTAAGGATTTTTTTTTTACTGTGTGAAAATGCCCGTGCTCAGGGGTGACCCAGAGAGTAGAACTGCCTTGTGTTCCCTTCTCCAAACCCACAGCTGCTGGGGAGGTCTGGCACTGCTCTGTGGGCTGCTCCCGCCAGCAAAGCCCTGCAAGGTTTGGGTGGAATGCTGTGCATTTGAGAGACGTGGTTCAGGCAAACCAGAAAAAAAAAAAACTTCAGCAAGAAATAAAAAGTCGCCACGGCCTGGACGGTGTTCAGCTTTGTCTCTTCAGTGGATCTGGGGGATGCTTTTCCCCAGGGGATGCTTTTCCCAAGTTAAGGCTTTTTGTGGAGTGTTTTAGTGCCGAGCGAAGGGAGGATTTTGGCTTCTGGCCACACTGGCTGCAGAGGAAGGGAAAAGAAACTGGTGTAGTAAGTTTTGCTGGGTCAAAAAGCAGCGGCATGTGCTGCAGCCCCAGCCCTGAGCTGCGCTGCTGGAGGAGTCCAGCAATAAAAACCCCACTTGGCTCCAGCAGCCACTGCCAGGCTCCAAAGGGATGGCTCCAGGCTGTGGTTCTGCTGCTGGAAAAGAAGATATTGGGGTAAATTTAACCCCCTCTCCCCTAGTGGTTAGTAATAGAAACACTGTGTGTGAGCCATGGCACGGAGAGAGGGCAGGATCAGCCCCACAGCTCGTTTGGGGGAGCATCAAATCTGAGCTGGGGCTGCAAAAACACTGAGGGGATATCGAGGCAGGGAGGAAAGGCAGGTGGGGTAGCAAGGAAAACAGGGAGCTGAGTGACACCTCCCCGAGCCAAGAGGGGGGAGCTGGTGGCTGAGTTACCAAATTTACTCTTGAAATGGAGCCTCCTGGTGCAAATAAACACCCCGAGGAGGTTGGTGGGAGCATCCCCTGCGCCGTGTGTGAAGGATGGAGCAATAAGACCACACAGCCAGACCTTAACCTTGCTAACAGGGCACATATTAGGTGGGAAACTCTTGCATGACCCTGTCATTTGGGATAGATAGAGGCAAAACAAAGGTTGTTGATTTTTTTTTTTCCTCTTTAATAACGTGTTAAAATGGTGCAGTTGTGCATGGCTGGAGGTATTAATGTGTTGATGTGAAACTGCTGTTTTCTGAGGCTGTACCAGCCCTGTTGCCATTTGTGTGTGCACATCACCAGGGTCCTGCTTCCCTCGGCTGATGGGGAGAGGGGGAAGAACCCTGAGATGGTTAATGGCACTTTCTGAAGGCCAGGTCACCCTGTAGGATCCTGCCACGCTCTGTGGTCCCACTGGGCTCCCTCTCTCAGCACCATGGCAACTGCAGTATTTATCAGTATCAATACCATTTATTAGTATTTATACTAATATTTATATATATATATATATATACACACTATATATTTTTATATAAATATATATTTATATACACTAATATTTATATACTAATAATATATTTATTAGTATTTATACTAATAAATATTGCAAGATTTATTGGTATTGGGAGGAAAAAAAAAAACCAAGGGCTGAGTGTTAAAACAGACCAGTGAGGAAGGATCATCCTCCCTGATCCCTGTGGGTGTTCTGGGAGCAGGATGGGCTGCACTCTCCAGGCTGCTCGAGCATTCCAGGGGTGGTGGGAATACCTGAGAGGCCAAGGAGGAGACAGGAAAAAAAAAATACAGAAGTGTTGCACATGAATCCAGCTGACCTGCAGCATGTGCTCCACAGATCTGTTTATGAGTTTTGCCTGGAGACTGTTTGGGAATTAGCAGCTTTGGGAAGGAAATGCATGAGCAGTCCATCCCTCCTTTTCCATGGCAATTGCCATGCAAATACTTTTGGAGTCTACTGGGTCGGCTTTTCCCCAATATCCACACAAGTGTGAGTGACCTAGGATGTGCCAAAATTTAATTTTTTCCACGTTTTCTGCCCTTTTTTGGAATTGGGACCCCTGGGCGTGTCACTCTTCTCAAATCTGCTGCCAAACACTGGGCTTAGAGTTGCACTTGGGGCAGCTGGTTTGGGTGCTAAACCTGGGATGAGAAACTCCCATTCCAACATTAAGAAAAAAAAAAAATGGGGGGAAAATGACCGTAAACACCTCTGGTGTGTAAATATGGCCTGACCCTCACTCTTGGAGCTCCCCTTTCTCACAGTGCCCTCCAGGACAAAGGCACCAGGTGTGTGTCAGTGGAATTTGAGCCTGGACCTGTGCTGTGCTTCCCTGCAGGTATTCCGAGAGCAGGCCATCGACGGAGAGACCCTGCCCCTCCTGACAGAAGAGCACTTACTGAACAACATGGGGCTGAAACTGGGGCCTGCCCTGAAGATAAGGTCACAGGTAGGAAAAAAAAAATCTCCTCGGTGGCAGCAGAAATTGTCCCCTCACCAGAATGGGGCTGTCAAGAGACAGGGGTTTATTGGATATCATTTATTAAGCAATAATTTATTTTGCAATTCTGTCTAAAGAAAACTCGATCTTGTCCTTCAAAACGTTCCATATCCTCACCCAAATTCAGTCACAGCTGTTTCAAAGGAAGAAATGTCTCAGCTGTTGTGCCTTTCCCTCCCCAGTGAATAATGACCCAGCTCTTGCCCTTCTCTGCTGTGCCAGTAACAGGCCTCTCTAACATTTTTATCTCTTGCCAGTCATAACTTACTGGTCTTGCTGATTTGGCTGCACTGGAAGTGGAAATTTATTGGTTGCATTAGTCCAGTTCTCTTTTAGGGGACTGTATTTCCTCCCCAGCACTGACTGGTTTGCTGTTGTGCCCTTTTAGCCATGTTTCTTCTCAAAATACCTTTTTTCCCCCCCTTCTATGATTTGGTTCCCAAGTCCCTGCCCGTAGACCTTTGCTGTCCTAAAATGACTTTACTGTTCTCCTGCCTCCCTCTCACAGCCAGCCATGGTGATTCCATTCCAGTTGCCTCCACTTCCCCTCAGTGGGACTCAAATCTAGGAGAACATCATCTCCACTGGCTTCTTTTTTTTTTTTTTTTCCATTTAATGTTCTGGGAAAAAAAAAAATAATCACTTGTGACACATGTAAAGCACAGGCTGTGCTGTGTATTCCCTAGGGAATCGTGCCATGGAAGTGGCTGTGACTTGCCATGTGCACAGGGACACACACTCACAGTTCTGGCACGGGTCCCCCAAACCCACAGGGCTGTACATTGGTTATATTATGTTAAAACAATGAGAGCAACTTTACTACTTTCCCTCCAGCCCTCCCTGTTTATGAGGGGGCTAATAAAAAGGTTCTGTGGGCAATTGTTCCCCGTGGGTCGATTCAGGAGGAAATAAAACTCATTTATGTTTCTCAAAAAAAAAAAAAAAAAACACAAGAGGACGTCAAATAGCTCTCAGACATCCCGAGATGGGCCTTGGGGTGAGGGGGGTGGGGGGGGAAATATGAGATATGGGCTGGAACTCGAAAAACCAGCTTCAATTTAATCAATAGTGTTTAAAGGTCTATAATAAGGCACGGCTGGGGGTGGGTAAGTGGGGAGCACTGATGCTGCTCGCTGAATAATGTGGCAGTTGTCTGGGTGGAACACCAGCCTGTGTTTTTGTTTAAGCTCAAAATGTGAACCAGCTGTGGAGGTGCTGGAAGGCTGCGGGGCCTTTGGCCCTTGCTGGGAGGCAAGAGCTGCTGCAGGAGAGCTGGCTGGGGCTGCAGGAGGGAGAGGTGCAGGCTGAGAGCTGCCTGGGCAGGGAACAGCAGCAGGAATTTTGTTCTCCCTCTCCCTGTGTTGGTCCCAGCCCCCCCCCCCCCCCCTTTTAGGAGCAATTCCCACTCTTCCAAGTGGACATGGTGTACTGTGCCATCAGCAGGAGAGCACTGTCCTGTCCAACTGTCCACCCTGTTAATGCAAGGACTGAGGAGGTTGGAATCAGTCAGCCCTTTTATCCTGTGGGGTGTTCCAGCACACCTTTAGCCTGGAAAATGTGAACTCAGGGCAGACCTTGTGGCTCCAGCAGTAAAACAGAGCTGGAGAGCACAGGACAGAGCCCTGCAGGAAAAGAGGAGGAAACCCCTGGTTTGTCTTCTAGGTGGATTGGGAAGGGTGGTGCTTCATTCCAGCGATGCCACAACAGAACCACAGAACGGTTTGGGTTGGAAGGGACCTTAAAGCTCATCTCATCGCATTCCAACCTCTCTGCCACAGGCAGGGACACCTCCCGCTAGACCAGGTTGCTCAGAGCCTGGAACACATCCAGGGATGATGGGGCATCCACAGCTTCTCTTTATTTAGAGTTTGGATACAAACCCTGACCTTACCCACGAAAACCCGTGGGATTCCCTAGACCGTTTGTGCGCGTTTTCCACCCCGCGGCGTTGATCCCGCAACTCTTCTATTAATTTTTTTTCCCCCCTCTCTCCTTTATCAACAGGTGGCCAAGCGAGTGGGCAGAGTGCTGTACATGGCAGGCTTCCCCATGGCTTTCCCCCTGCAGCCCCCCGGGCTGCGGCCCCCGGAGCGGGACGTGCCCACGGCCGAGCTCCGGCCGGCGTCCACGGGCAGCGTGGCCTCCCCCTTCGGCAGCGGCGTGCCCTCCTCTGCCAGCCGGGGCTCCCCGAAGCAGGAAAACGGGAACCCTTCCCTCCTCCCCGGGCTCAGCGACACCGCCAAACCTCCGTCCTAACTGCGGGGACGCCTCCAGCTGCTTCTGGGACTTTGGGGATCCGGTGGGACAAAGCCGAAGGATGCAACGCCAGAGCCCTCCCCGCCCGGCGGCGCGAGACCGCAGGAGTGAGGGAGGAAAAGGGAGGTTTTAATTTGGGTTTGGTTGTTTTTCTTTTCGTTTTGGGACGAATTTGCTTTTTTTTGTTTGTTTGTTTGGGAAAATAACAGAGAGAAGATTTCAAAACTGTAAAAAAGGAAAAAAAAAAAAACTATAGGGAAGGAAAGAAAATGATCCAAAGATGTCGTGAGACAACGCAAGTGAAGAGAAGGATTGTGGAGGATGGCTGCAGCATTCCTGTTCCCTTTCTCACCCAGAAATGGAGAGCCCTGCACAGGGAATGAACGCTGTTCTTTGCCTTCAAAGAATCCTGCCTGTCAGGAACTCGTGGGTGTGACTCCAAGCAGGGGAAGGGGAAGGGGTTCTGCTCCTCCCAATGGTACTCAGCACCCCTGAGCAAAGGAAAACAACCCATCAGAAAAAAAAAAAAAATTAAAAAAAAAAAATCATACCACCCACCTTCCCAGATCTCTCCTCCTCCCTGGAAACTGTGCTCAGTTCCTCATTCAGGTGTCTATGCATCTCTAGCGACTTTGAAAACAATACCAAAGACAGACAAAAAGGAAAAAAATAATAAAAAATAATAATAATTAAAAAAAAAGAGGAGTTAAAAAAAAAAAAAGGCAAAAAAAAAAAAAAAAAGGCAAGTTCCCGTCCATGTTTACTTCCGTGCGGATGGTACGGCACCGGCTCCGTGCTGGCCCCTTCCCCGGCACGGGGCCCTGTCAGCACACAGGAGAATGGACTCTGCCTGTGCTCCAGCCCTGCAGAGGTGTTCTGGTTTTTTAATTCCCCATTAGATGTTTTGTTTCAAAGAGAAGAAGAAGAAGAAGAAGGAGGAAGCGTGTGCTCGGGTGGGATGAAGGCTCCCAGCCTCCCTCCTCACGCCTCCAACAGACTCATTTCTACATCTGGGGTGGGGTTGGTTTTGTTGTTTTTTTATTTTATTTTATTTTTATTTTTTGTTCCTAGGGTTGGATTTTGTTCTTCTTTAAAGCCTTGTTACAGAGGTGGATGTAGTTGCACATTCTGGCCTGCGGTGGACCATGAGACAGATTCCCTGGGAGGGGATGCTGAGGGGGTGTTCAGGCTAAAAAACAATGGGCAGAGTTTTTTACTACTGTGAATGAGCTGGGAACTCCTGGGGGTGACCTCCTGTGACTTGTACAGTTGTGAACAACAATCACATGTGGTACTTTTCTCTCTCTCCCCTGCCCCCCTTTTTTTTTTGTTTGTTTGGTTTTGTTTTTTTTGGTAAACGTTGCACGTGCTACCGTTTTTTTTCTTACAAAATAGCTTGGTGGTACATTAGCTTCTTTATATTGTAAAAAAAAAAAAGAAAAAAAAAGTCATTATCCATCACATCACGATAAAAATGCTTTCCAGCAATCAATTTAAATAAAAAAAGAAAAACACTTAATTTACAAATGGTACCTGGCTTTAACCAAGAAGTCTCTCTCTCTCCTTTTTTTTTTTTTTACTGGGGCCAGTGTGGGTGTTAAAATCTCCTGGTGCTTCAAGGCTGCCACATTTCTGGCCTAAAAACCAATCCAAGGGTTGCCAGAAGGCAGCCAGTACTTTGCCCAGTTAAGTCAGAGAAAGGATTAACAGCAACTCCTTTCTCTTTTGGAAGAACAGGTAAGTCAAAAACTTTTATTTACAGTGAGGACATCACAGTTCTCACCTGTGGCGGCACATCCTGAACTCCCACATGGACCTGCCTGAGGATTCAGCCTAAATCTTGAGGGCTCCTTAACCCCTAATGAATCAGCAGGTACTTTGGGGGGCCCTCAGAGTGGGCTTTAAATAATGATAATAACGATTATGTTAACAGTAAACCCCAAATTACTAATTCCTGAGGTTATCCTCCCTGTGGGAGGAAGTATCTGGGTGCAGGCCTGGTAATTCCTGTAACTGAAGAAGCAGCCTTCCCTACCCCCCTTCCTGGTGCTAAGCTCCAACAAGACACACACACACACAAAAATAAAAATATATTTTATATTTAAATGTTCTTTCAAAAAAAAAAAATCCACCTTGTCCTATTGTGGTGTGCAGGGGTAAGGATGAAGGCTGAGCTGCCCCTCTCTGTGCAAGTCACTTGGCCACCCTAAGCACTGACAGATTTTTAATGAGAGCTTTTTTATTACCTCTGCTGAGCAGTTTCACTGGCCTTGACATGACCATACTTTTATTGTTACCAAAAACGTGAGTGGTAGAAAAAAAGAGTCCCAAGTTGCGTCTCCGCCACGTCACTGAGCGAGTCCTTGGTGGCACCTGGGGCTCCCACCCGCCGTGTTCCCGGCTCTTACCCCCTGCTCCAGGTGCTGAAGGCTCAGGGAGTGCAGTCTGTAGGGGGTCAGCGTGGAAGGGAGGCTGTGAGGGAGCTCAGTCATCATCTGAGAACGCCAGGTCCTCCACGATGTCCTCCCCCCCCTGGGCGAGCTGATCCAGGTCGGAGCGCGACATCCCTCGGGGGCAGCTCCTCTGCTTCCCTGGCCCTTGGGAATCCTGAGCGCCTTCCCTGCCTTCCTCTGGGGGTGGAGAGAGAGAGAAAGGTGTAAGTCAGTCCTGCCTTCCTGGGAGCCAGCGTGAGGCGACTCAAGGCAACTCATGACTAATTAATCCCAGACACTCATTAATTTATCGGCGCCGCTGCAGCTCCCGGAGCGCGGCAGGAGAGCCCTGCAGGGGGTGGGTACAGCACTGGCTCTGAGGTACCCGAGCCCAAACTAGTACACCTGAGGCAAAAACATACAGGGAGAACTGGGGCGGGGGGGTGGTACAAGACAGGCAGAGCCTCCAAACCATCATCCCTCTGGGTTCAGGTCAGTCCTCCCTCACCAGAGGTGTCGGGCTGGGCTTGGAGAGCTGACAGGAAGGAGCTGTCACAGGTACCAGCAAACCTTCCAAATGCAAAAGTATTCCCCAAAGAGTGGGGAGCACAGGTGAGAAATGGTTTCTAGGACCTGCTCCTGGGTTGGAAGGGACCTTAAAGCTCAGCCCATTCCATGGGCAGGGACATCTTCCACTAGACCAGGCTGATCAGAGCCCTCTCCAAACTGGCCTTGGACATTCCCAGGGATGGGGCAACCACAGCTTCTCTGGGCAACCTGTGCCAGGGCCTCCCCACCCTGACAGGGAAAAATTTTTTTCCTAATATCTAATGCAACCCTGCCCTAGAGTCAGTGTGAAGCCATTCCCCCTTGTCCTGACCCTTGTAAATATTCTCTGTGCATCTTTCCTGTAGGCTCCCTTCAGGTATTGGAAGGCCACCCCAGAGCCTTCCCTTTTCCAGGCTGTTCCTCCAGCTTGTCCGAGTTCCCCAGCAGGCAGAGAGGGAAAACTCTCCTCCTTTCCCCTTCACAGCACTGTCAGAACACGCACCAAGTACCCATCTATTCCTGGTGCTGGGGTTTGGGTGTGCTTGCCAAGCCACAGCCATCTGCCACATTCTAAACCTGTCAGATTTTGCTCTCTCTTGGACTCTTTTCCCCCCTCCCCAAACCAGCGAAGAACCCGCACACAGGCACTTGTGTGGCTGCTCCCCAACCACACATCACACCCAGAGGCACGGCGAGGAGCAGAGCCCTGGCACTCTGACACACAGGCATCAGCAGTGGCACAAAACCCCGCAGAGGAGCCCCACAGCAGCCCCTGGCAGGGCCAGCTTCCCCCTGCTCCGTCAGCTGAGGGGCTTGGCAGGCACAGGCACGACCGTGGTGGTCGTGGTTGGGGCTGAGCAGGGGATGGAAGGGGAAGATAACACCCTCCTCAGCTGCACAAAGCCTGGCTCGGTGTCTATCACAGCCCTGGTGACAGAGCTGGCAGCTTTCTCATTTAAAGAAAGCCATTTAGAGCTGCTTTCTGGCCTCTCAGAGCACACTGACCCGGCAGCCTCTCACTCCAATGCCCACCACTCACCAGTTCCAACTGGGCAGCAGCTACTAATGGGCAGGAGTGATCAGGACCAAGCCCAGAGGCTGGTCAGGGGTTCTGTGTCCACACACTGTCCAGTGCAGAAACCCCAGTGAACGCAGGGCCTTGCACATGGTCTCCTGTCAGTCCTGTCCAGGGAGGAGCTGCAAGTAAAGGGTTACCCTGTGCAGCACCCTGTGCCCCAGGCACAGCTCAGATGAAAGGGGACGTGCACCCTGCACACCCCACGTGTGTGTGTGACCTGCAGGGAGCCTCCAAGCAAGGTTTGTGATCTCCCAGCAAGGCTTCTGTACCCCACTGGGGTGGGCTGTACTTGGAGTTCGTTTGAGCCTCGCTGCAGGAGGCTCCTGAAAAGAGATGAAAGGGACTGGGGGCTCGTTAGAGTGAGGCCTGAAAAGATCTTTTAACCCTTTCTCTCCTTGGCATAACTCAGAACTGCCAGGCCTCCCTGCCCAGGGTGTGTGTCTGTGTGTGAAGTCCCTCCTGACACCCTCAGCTCACAAAAGAGCAAAGGTGCCTTAAGTCACCAGTGCTGTCAGGAATTCCCTTTTCCCCTTTGCCCAGCTGCTCTACTTACCATCTGACTCACTGTCTTCTCCCAGTTCTTCCTCATCCTCCTCCTCCTCGATTTCGTAACTCCCTTCTTCGTCGTCATCATCCTCACCATACTCCTTGCTGCTCTCTTCTGAGCTGTCATCTGATGCCTGCTTGGCTTTGCCTTTACCTGCAAAGCATTTTTACTGGGTGAATGGAAAAGTGAAGAGCAGCACATGTGCAGGGAGCACATTCAAAGGGCAAAGAGCTCAGGAGCGCCAGACAGGCACTCGAGGGGATATTTCTCCACATTTTTCACATGTGTGTCTCCCCAAAAGCCACATCTCTCTTGCACCAGAGGCCCAGAGAAGGATGGATTTAATTTCAGAGGCACCTGCTAGAGGCCAGGAAGGCCAGGACAAGAGTCAAAAGAAATCAGTTCAGAACCCACAGCAGGGTTTTACTGCTAAAGCCCAGGATTTGCTGCTACCTGGTACTTACAGAGCACCACTGGCACAGCAGTCAAGTGTTCATCTTGGATCTGCCTGCCCTGCTCAGAGAGACAGGAAAGCTGGACAGACTGAGGGGTACAGTGAGAAGAAATGAGCCTGCTGAAAGGAGAGGGAATAAATCCCACAGCTGAGAGCAGAGAAGGGTTGGTTCTACTGAGAGATGGTGCCTGTGTTTCACCCACCTCCACCTTCCCTGGTTAGTGCAACTGAGCACAGAAGGGTTCTGTGCACATCTGGTTCAGGGTATCCTCGAAAAACCTCTCTTAACTTTATTCCCTCTGTTAATCACAACAAAAATGTCTAGGAACAGGCACTGCTGCTGAAAGTTCCCTCTGCAGATGGCAAGCCAGGGCCGAGGGAGCCTGGCAGGAAGGGTTAAGAGCCTCTGGGTGTTTGGCCTGTGGGAAAATCATCCACTTCTGACCCTCTGGACCCAAATTTCTACTCATGCTGGGCTCACTGCAGTGGGGGAGTGCTTCTCCCCTCTCTCTCCCTGGGGCACTGAGAGCCACCAGGTTTTTTAAAATGACAGAACACAAGCCCTGTACAGAAGGAGCAGCAGAACCAGCTGCTTCTTGCCTCCTTCCATCCCTGAGCTTACAAACTGCTCAAGGACCTATTTATTCACTCTGCCTGGAACCCGCCAGTACATCTTTCTCACTCTGTGGTCCCTGGGCCACACCATGGTGCCTATGTTTTTGTCCCACCCTCCCTGCCCAGCAGCTGACCTATGCTGCTCACTGAACTGGAGCCAGAGCCATCAATAAGCTGGCTGCCAGCATTCCCAGCTCCCTGTCACCACCCTGTCTGCTCTGCTCTCACCCATCTGTCAGCTCTGCCAAGCACAGTTCCCCCCCTGAGGGATGGGAAGCCACATCCCACGGCTGGAGCTCCCAGGCACTGCGAGCCCTGGCTCCACAGGAGATGGATTGCAGCGCTGTCCACTGCAACCACATCACACTGATGGGCACCTGAGCAGCCCAGGAAACAACCCAGGGCACGCTCTCATCCATCAAACACCGGCCAAAGCACCAAGAGACCCAGCAACCAGCGAGCCCAGAGGATACAGTAAACCAGCTGTGGGCAGGGATTGGGTCATTCCTGCCTGCTGTGACACAGGAATTTACTGAACTTCCCCAGCCTCCTGCTCAGCCCCTGCCTCCCCTCACACACAAGTCCTGAATTCCACCTCCTGAGGCACAAGTGCATCAGTGAGACCCCAGAAGTCAGTGCTGGGAGGGGCTGCAGGGAACCACTCCTGCCCCCCTATTCCTCAGCTGCCAACAGCCCACAGCAGGAATTTTCCCACTGAGAAAGGGCCACAGCTCCTCCGGTAGGAAATGAAAAGGCCTGCCCTCTCCCTCCACACCCCTGGCCCCCACCAGTCTGGCATTAAATTGATGTAATATGATTAGGCGAGGGATAAATGAAGAAACCTGTTCAAGTTCATTAAGGCTCAGCAACACCTAATGTGGACAGATCACTCATTACTGCCGGGCCCGGGGAGACGCTCCCTCCTCGCCTTTAATTGCCTCATGACGAGGCAGCCCAGCACCTCTCCCTTAGCCATTAATGATTTCCAGCCTTGCCTTTCCTCCCAGAGATCCAGCTGGTAAATGAGAGGAATGCAGGTACCTCCCCACCCCCCACAACAGGCTGATCAATCCACGCTATTTCCCCCCACCCCCAGCTCCTGGTTCTTTGCTGCTCAGGTGCTTCCCAAAATGTGCAGACTGGTTATCTCCCTGCCTAGGTCTCTGCCAGGAGCTGCTACACGTGTCTCTCTTGGAAGTAGTTTGAGGCTGACTGGAGATGAACCAAAGTCCTACCATTGCCACAGGCCACAGCAGCTGCAGGGCCTCCCAAATTCCCTCGCATCTGGCCACCCAGGAAAAGAATGCCCACAAGCACAGGCGAAGTGCAGCACTGGCTTCTCTTGACAGTCACTGAGTGCAGAGCCTGGCTGGGAACATCTCACACCCCACACAGAGCAAGAAAAAGAGCTCATTGTGTGCGTCTCCCAAGACACAGACGCTTTTCCAGCCTCCCTGCCCCTTGCCCACTGTGGAGTCACACCACTGCCAGAGGGGACTTCACCCTGTGCCACCACAGCTCCACTGCCTCACCCAGCGCCTCGGGACCCATGTGGGGCTGGGCACAGTTGCTCCCTGAGATGGAATATCCCTTCAGGGCTGTTCCCTCCCTCCAGAAAACACCCTGCTAAGGACAAAGGGTAAGGAGAGATGGCTGGCCCAGGAATGTTGGAAGGCCAAGCCCACCACTGGCACTGCAGTGCTGGTGCAAACTCAAGACTGCCCAGCACAGCTGTGGGACTTTAACAGAGCCCTTGGATATCACACAGATCTCAGTGCACTCTGTCACCGTGGATGGCAGACCCTCAGAGCTGCCAGAGCCTCTCACACAGCTGGCACAGCACAGGCCCACGGTAAAGCCACGCCTGACACGTGGATTGCAAACCTTTCTCTCTTTTGCTCCCCTCCCACCCTTTTGCCAGATCACCTACGAAAAAAAATCCCCTGACTTCAGCCTCAAGCCATCAAACTTTTCCAACCTGTTTTTCCTCCTGTGCCACAGATGCCTGGGAGGGAGAGGATGCTCACTGGTTCTGTGGCACGTCTCAAGGTTTATCCTCACACCTCACCCTGGGCACAAGTCGCCCCGTTTGTGAATGGCAACGCATCTGGAAAACTTGGGACATCCCAAACATTCCAAATTACAAGAAGAACATCCAAGTTTATCCTCAAGCTCTGTGGTGAACTTCTCAGGCAGGTTCCACAATTTACTGTGGCCCTCTCGTGGCCACAGCCAGAGGGTGACATCACCCACGTTCTCCAGGTTTGCTTGGCTCCCCAAGAACACTTGGAATGTCAGTCACCATCACATAAATCAATCAGAAGTTCATGCAAGGAGAGGATCAAAGATCCTCTTGCAGGTAGCCAGCCCCTACGATGCACAGAACCTCTCCAGCCAAACACCCCTTGCTTTTTGGGGCTCTCAGGCTGAGGTCAGTGTGTGTGACAAAAGAAAGGTGCCAAGGGGATGAGACACGTCATGCACAGAAAAAGACTAATGCAGGACTAAGGCTTTAAAATGAGCTGGACTGACGGAGAGGAAAATAAAAGCCTCTCAAACACCATCATCCTGTGGCTCTCCCTCCCTACCAAGTGTAGCTTTTGAACCCACCATGGCCATACTGACCCACATCAGATGGAATTCTGGACAAGGAGAAGGCAAGCCCAGCCCCAGCCCTGTACCTTTTACAGAGAATCCACTATTCTCCTCATCAGAGTCACTGTCCATCTCGAAGAGGTCCTTGAATTCCTTCTTATCTTCCTCCTTTCTTTCATCGTGCTTCTTACGCTTGATTTCTGGGAAGTTCAAGTCTTCAAGCTGGAAAAAAAAAACCCAAACCAACAGTAAGAACAACCCTAATTTGTACTTTTCAACACAAAATGCAGTGTTTAAAAACACAGTGTTTAAAAACACAGGCTGGCTGGGCCTGTCTGCTGCCCACTGGGAGAGCCACAGATGTGTGAGCTGGTCACAAAGGTGACTGATACACACAAAGCACCGCTGCTCTGTTGATCTTTACCTAATAAACTACTTTTGCTAACGGACCATCTACTGCTGGCACCTTAGCAGGGACAAAAATGCAAGATATCCACGACCAGCTGGCTGCAGGATCCCTGGACTGGAAGCTGTGCAAGCCCAGCGAGCTTGCAGGTAGCACAGTCAAGACAAGACTGCGCTGGTCACCTCCGGAGTTCCACCAACACCAAAAGCTGGGACAGCTACACCAAGGCTGCCTTTCTGGGGGCAGATTTCAGCACTGTTAGATGGCAGGGATGCTAAAAGGTCTGCCTGCACCCCCCATCACTCGCCCTCGTGGAGATCAATGGGCCAAGAGCCCCCTGCTGCAGACAGCCAATATCAATGCCATTAAGCACTTGCCATTGACACCACCTCACTGCTCTTTACACCTCTCCGGAGGGGGATTAGGGGGAGGATTTACTTGCAAGGGCTCAGGCCAGCAGGGCAAAGATAATCAGAATGCAAATTAAATCCCAAGTGCTCTGGGAACATCAGCTGCCCGCTGCCCTGCCTGGCTGCACACCCCCTGGGAAGCACTCAGGCATTAGCACACATTAGCTTGCTTGGAAACATTCACCCCACCAGTAATAACTCATTTGCTCCCCCCCACACACCCCCTTCAGACCACCCCTCAGCCCTCCTGCGAGCTTCTCCCCATGGGAACAGCAGGGAAGCACAGCCTGTGTGGAAGGGCAGCTCTCAGCAGAGAGAGGGAGAGAGAGAGAGGGAGGATGGGGATGGGGAGAAGGGACAAGGGAGATGGAGATGTGCATTTGCTCCCGCAGCCAGTTCCAGCAATTTCTCCCAGCCTGTTTCACGGTTATGGTCCCCAGCTGGGCAATATTGATCCTGGGAGCTGAGCACTTACAAGCAATAACCTGCAGCACCGGGATGGAGAGTCAGAGGAGCTGGGCAGAGAAGGGGAGAGGGGAACAAATCACCGGCTGCCATTTGCAGGGGCCTAATTTTAAATCATCTTCCCACCTGCTCTTTTTTTCCCCACTGTGAGAGGCCTCTGCTCCCACTGGCCCTGCTGGGAGGGTGTGTGAAGGGAGCAGCTTTCCAAACTGCAGTCATTTCATGCCAGAGAGGAGACTTGGGAAGCAAAATGCAGCCAGGGCAGTGATCCAGGGGCACTGCCAACCAGCTGCCCTCAGCTGACCCAGTGACAGACTGCCACCATCCTCTGAAGAATGATCTAAAAGATCTCATTCCAGCCCCCTGCCATGGGCAGGGACACCTTCCACTAGGCCAGGTTGCTCCAAGCCCCGTCCAACCTGGCCTTGGACACTTCCAGGGATGGAGAGTCCTCAAGCCCAGCAAGTCCCACCACGAGGCACCCCAATTCCAGAGGCACCCTACAGTTTTGGGTGACCATCAGTGCCATCTGAACTCAACCTGAGCACATTAAAAAGGGCCTGGTGTTGAATCCTGCTGAGTGGTGCCACCTCCAGCTTTGAGACATCCCAGGACTGCACCTCCAAATAAAGGCACCCAAACCCCTGCTTGGCGTGGAGTGATCACAAAGCAAAGGAATGAGGCTTGCACTGAGCCACAGCTCACAGATACGGGCTGTGCTCATCACACACAAGCAGTAATTAGGTAATTTGGGGGCCAGTCTTTTAATCCCCAGCTAGAGGGTTACTATCTACTGAGTCTCACGAAGCCGATTAGTCCACATCCCATTAAAAACCATTGGGAAAAGCAAATGGAATGGGCAGACAGGGTCAGTGTTGTTATATAAGGCAGGGCTGCAGCTCAGAGCAGCTGAGACAGCCTGATCTTTTTTTTTTTTCCCTGTTATTATTTTTTCCCCCAATGGCTGCTAATGGGACATGGATTTTCCCAGCCCTAATGGGCCTCATGGTGTTCACTCTCCTGCTGGGGCTCACAATGCTGCATCATTAAACTACCAGTCCCCACCGAGGCACACAACAGCCCCATTCACCAGGCAGAGATGCCAGGCAGCCACGGGCCTTTCCAAGATTCTGACTCCAAATTCTGCCTCTCTCTGCAGTCTATCTGCTCAGCCCACTTTCTGCAGCAGAAAACAAGCCCCTGTCACCGTCTTTCACACTTCCCCCTGGTTTCTTGAGTCTTGCTGTATGAAAGCAATGCCCTTTTCCACCTCAGCTGGTCCTGCACACCCCAAGGAGCTCCAGCTTCCCTCCTCCACTTAACAGAATACGGGGGCTTGTCTGCACTGAGGGCTGATCTCTCCCCTTGTGAAAGCTGCTTCAGTACCAGGAAGGTGTCTAATCACACCAGCAGGGCCAGTACTGGGCAAAAGATTAACCCCACTCACAGCCATCACTTCTTGCTGTTTCTCAGCCCTCCCTCCCAATTTCCCTTCTGCGAAGGCCGCGTTCTTTGCCCAGCACACAGCGTGCTTTTTGTTCCCTCTGCATGGCTGCCCGGGGGCTTTTCAGCCTCCTGTCCTCAGGCTGCTCTGCGGTACTGAGCATTTGCAGGATCTCCCAGGTCTCCTACCACACCCTGGGACTCGTCTGGGAGCCAATCATCCTCATGTCCCATCGATTATTTTAATTGTTCCCCAGCATACACTGGAGACACCAATTATATCTGTTTCCTGCTGCCTGGCCAGGAGCCTGGCTCAGCCACTTTCATTGCATTAGCATCGAGACAGCTTTCCTTTGGACTCCTAATGGAGCTCCCACCCCCTCCTCCTGCATCCTGGAGTGCCCAGGGAGCCTTCCCTTGGGCAGGAGATGTGGGAAATGGTAGTCTGGGCACTCCTGTCCAGACAGAGAGGCCCACCTCACAACCAGCCACCCCCACCACCCTGCTGCCAGGACACGGCTCTTGGCTTCCCATGGGCACAGATGATGCCCAGTAAACCAGGGATTTAAGCACTTACCCTTTCTTTGCCACTGATTTCCAGTTGTATCTCCTTCTCTCTCAGCTTCTTCCACTGAGTGTAATACTTGGTCAGAGGGGTCCCCTCCTCTTTGACCTGTTTCTCCCATTGTTCCTGGGGAGAGAAGGGGGTACAAATTTAAAGGTTTTCAAAGCAGTCTTCCACTTTGGGAGTCAAGAGCACGAGGTTAAGACCCTTTCCCAAACCACATTCTCCCAGCTCACGGGTAGAAATTGGCAACCACAACTAAGAATGCAAAGAGGACTAAGTGTGAATTCAGTTATTTAAGCAAGTACTGAGTCAGAAGTGGTTGTGACTGACAACTCTCCTTAGGCAAAGCAATGCCTGAGGACTGCAGGGAAACCAGAGGAAGCCAAAAGCCGCAAGGGACAGGTTGGACAAAGAAACAGCTTGATATTGTGATGCCAAAGCACAGGACACCAGTGGCACTGAAGGACAGCATGAAGTCCTGACAAAGGAGCATCCATGGTGGTTTATATGATGCATTAGCTTATGGAAGATCAGATTGTTTCAGCATGAAATGTGGGTTCCCAGGTTCCTATTTCTGTCTTCCAGGCGAGGCCTGATTCTCTGACAGCTCACAAGAGGTTCTCCTAGAATGAGTCAGTGCCCCCTGGGATCCACTGTTACTCTCCTGGCCTTGAACATTCACTTCTGCTCTGGCTTCAGTGAGAAGATGCTGATAAAGAAGTCAAGTCAGATGATGCAGCTGCTGCAATGGGAAAGGAATTACTTCAACTGAAACTTGAAGGGAGGAATAAAAAAGGGACAGACCAGAGGAACTATCAGGACGAAATGTCTATTCCCTGCTCCTTCAATGAAGGCATCTGATCACCTGCTCAGTCCTTGCTTTTAATTCAGGAAAACATCCCACGAGCACTTACAAGCTCTAAGTACCAAAAATGTCTGATTGCCTGTTCCTCCTGTTCCCTGGCCAAGTGTTTGTTTTTCAAACAAACATTCCCCTGCAGGGTCTTGGACTCATCCCAGCCTGGAGAGAGCAGAGCATGAAGAAGTGCAGAGCCTGTTTTCTGCTGTCCAAGCAGAGGGAATAAGGAGGTGCAAACACTCTAAATGGTGGGAAGCCAATTAAATGGTTAAAAATTCTTTTATGCTTCAATCATTTGGCACGTCAGTGCTGAAAGGGGGTGCTGGTATGTCATTCTTCTTAACCTGCCAACTTCCTTTTACTAAAAACCCCCACAGAACTGTTACCTGGATCACCAGAGAGCCCAGAGGCTTTGCATTCCCCCACAATAAAAAAGTCAACCTAATCTAAGCAGAAAAGACATGACATACGGTAAGCAGGAATTGAAACAGGCAGAGGAGGAAAGGAATGAGCAACAGGAATAAAGCTTAGCATAGATACACCCAAAGGTCAGCAGGGATCCAAAAAAGAGTATCCCGAATCCAGGGCTGAGCAAACTCCAGAGCTCTGTACGTGTGTACACAATGCTCCTGACCGAGGGTGAGAATGACAAGCCAGACCATCTTCACAGCAGAAAACACAGCAGCAGCTCAAATATTCTTCAGCAGGTCTCAAATCAACTGCTCCTGGGCTCACAGGCTGCAGCCTCCACCCCACATCTCCCTCCTTTGGGGATGTGGGGTGGAGGCTGCAGCCTGTGAGCCAAGGCATGGGGAGAAGGTTGGTTGAAGAGCAGGACTGTGCACAGAGCTCCCATCTCACACCAATAACGATGTACTGTGAAGGGAAATGCATCATTCTCCACCAGGTCCTGACTTGGGCCATCCCTGGGAGGGAAGTGGAGATGACCTGTGGTCTTCTGCTGCTGGTACCAGGAGCTGAGCTTGGCAATTAAACAGCGCCCCAGCTCTAGCGGCACATTTATGCACCTCCAACAGGCACCATCCACCCTGCACCCAGCCAAACACGCCCTTTCTGGGAATCTCAGTCCCAGACTCCCAAACCCAGCCCCCCCCAGGAGTGTTTGCAGCCTGTCTGCAGGGCTGGAGCCCGTGTCTCCTGCCCAGCAGCACAACAACAACAACAGCTGATGTGCTGACGCCAGCCCGCAGCCCCCAGCACGGCTTCCCTGCCCATCCAACCCACCCCTCTGGCCAGAGCAGCAATTCCTGAGCAGCACAAAGGCACCTCTCTTATAGATCAGCCTCGGATCGTGCTGCCAGCTGTAATCAGGTAATTTGTTGATGCTGCTTGGTATGGACAGCTTCTGAGAAAGGCTCTTCTTACACAGAAGGGAAGTGTTTGTTCTGTCTGATACAGCTCTTTTGGTCTCTGGAACCCAGAGATAAAAAAGACCATTAAAACAATCACATTTTATCTAGGCAGAACACCTCAGTGGGAATTTTGAGAGAGGGGATGCCATCCCAGCCACTTGGAATTCTCCTTCTATTGCAGCTTTTGCATCAGTGTGCTGCCAGGGAACACCCAGCACGGACCAAGCCCACAGTGCTGGTACCTGCACAGCAACAAAAATATCATCCTCCACCCTCCAGAAAAGCTTTCAGTCTGGAATGTGAGATGGGGATGAACGCAGAAGGTCTGGAAATCCCATGGAAATGAGGCAAAGCTTCCCACCAGCTCACTCCCTCACCTCCCCCGAGTGCACTGCTCTCAGAACGAGGGGTCCCCAGCTCAGCACAGGGGTCTGATGAGGAGCCCAGCACACACTGCAGGTCCTTCCCCTTCCCTGAATCTTCCCCTGCCAATCCAGGGCCCACACCAGTGCAGAGGAACCAAAAATCACAGCTGCACATCAAACATCTGGATCCAACTTCAGCTGCAGGCTCCACTTTTTCTTGGCTCCCCTCATAAAGACTTTAATTATTATAATAACCTATTAGCACTGTGCTCTCAAAAAAAAAAAAAAAAAGCACTGGCTTTTCATTCTTAACAATGACAGTAAAAAAGTAAAGTTCTCAAAATAATAAGGAAGAAGTCAGGCTGAACACATCTGGTGTGCATGTCCCTCCATACCACAGTTCCTGGGATGTGAGGAGGGATCCTTCCACAGTCCCTCCACCTTAAGTTAAACACTGCAAGCCCACAGCACTGAGTTCAATGGCCAGGCCATTTCTTCTTTAAAACAGTCCCTCAGGTAATATCCCCCTTTCCAAAGCACACCCACCACTCTGTAATTCCCAGCGACAGCTGCATTTTGGGCACGTTGCCGAAAGAATTAGCTTAGAATTTGGGCTTCCACAGTGGAACAGGGACAAAGGCATGGGAAAACCAGAGAGCATTTGCTTTCAATTGCTCCTGCTGGCAAGGGGGACATGCACATACCTCCCCTTCCCTCAGCCCTCCTTCCCTTCCCTTCTCTGGCAGTGTTTGCTCAGGAGAGGTGCCAATGCCCCACACAGCTTGGAAACAACCCAGCCTTCAAGGGACACTCCAAATCATTTTGGGAAGCCCAGTCTCCATAGGAGCTTTGGCCCTTCTTGGGAATCTACACCATCTGCTTGCAAAGGTGTAAGGGGAAAACACGGGCCCAGCCTGGGCTCTGGGCACCAAAGACAAGCCACTATAGCTTTTCCACCCCACAGAAGTGCTGAGTGGGCTGTTTCCTCTGCTCCCAGGAGCACTGATATCCCAGTAAATGAAGGAAAGGCTCCCTTCCTGCCACAGGACAACACCACAGTGGTGCAGAAATGCAGCTTGCACAGGCAATCCTGGTGTCCTCCATGAGCAGCACTTCACACTTCGCTCTATCCCCTGAAATGGCAGAACATCAGTCCCTAAACCTGCCTGGCAAACTGGTGTCCTTCCCTTAACCAACCTCCTTTACTCAAGGCAGGTGCCTGTTGATGCCACTCCAGAGCCAGCCCCTCTTGATTCACACTGATGTCATCCCTGGAAAAGCAGGTGCACCAACCAGGAGACACCCAAGGCAGCAAGATGTTAAAATAATCATTTGGTTCTTACACAAGGGACTGCAGCCAGAGCTGCTGGGAAAAGCAGACAGTGGCAGAGTTGTTGGAAACCCTGTTTTTGTTTAGCTACAGACCTTCCCCAGTTCACCCATTTCATGGGAGAGCCTGGGAGGTTGAAATCTCTGCCTCTGCAGTGGGTGGGTGGTCACAGCACTGCCCACAAAAATACAAACCAACAAACCCCAAACTGCCTCGCTCCAGACGGGAAGCAAACCAGTCCAACCCAGACTGGTGTTTACAGAACCAAAGACTGCTTAGTCACGTCAAACCCAGTTCCACCAAACCCCTTAATCCCAGAATAGCACTGCTGTGTCCTGGCACTGGCATGCCAGGATTTCAGTGGCTAATTTTCCTGCAGTCTCTGCCCCTCAGTGTCTGCAGACAAATTAGTCTGCACTGCACTGCTGCTCCGTGCTCAGCTCCATGCCAACGGGTGGAGCCTCCAATGATGCAGAACTCGAGACTTTCCAATAAACCATGTGGCCACAGAGACTGCTCTGACCCAGCAATTACCTTGCAGGCAGAGGTATTTTCACCTCTCTCCTGCCAGGCAAGGAAGAGTCAGCCTCCCTGCTTCCTCTCACGGAGAGGACACACGCACAGCTCACCTGTTACCAGGCTGGCCAAGGTGGCACCTTCCTAATCAGGGATGGGGGATGATGAAAGAAAACTTCCCAGCAAAGCAAGGCATTTCCACGCATGTGTGTGCTTCACAGATCACAGAAGGATACAATTTACAGGCTCGTGTTTTCCATGAGGCTCTTGGCTGCTCAGTCCTGCCGGGCTCGGCTGTTTGTGAACATCGGCCCCACGTCACACGCTCCCGTTTCCAGGATCTCCTCCTCCTCCTCCCCCCTGCCACAAGCCCAGCCCAGCATCCAGAGCCTGGCTGCCTTTCCAGGAAGGCCACATGGAAGCAGCAGGACTCACCACAGCCTCCCTGCTGGCCACGCCGAAGGCGGCTCTCTGGCGCTTGCTGGAGATGTAGGCAGAGTTTTCCTGCAGCTTCTCCAAGAGCTGCCGGATGGGCTTGCAGTAGTTGGCAACCTTGCACTCCTTCAGGAAGGATTTCAGCTGGGAGGAGGAAAAGGAGAGGAAGAATGAAAGCAATGTTAAGAGTTTCCATAAACAGTAAAGAAAAAAACGCATTTCCCACCCCCGGTGACAGCACGGGGCATCTTTTCCCTTTAATTCATCCCATATTCCAGGGTATTGCCCATATCAGGCCTGGGGGTCCTGCCTCCCTGGGCTAGGAGGGTGCAAAGAGCTGCAGTGACAGGCCAGATGTTTCTGTGTCATCCACAGCAGGGGCTTTGCTCAAAACCAGCTCTTTTGCACCCTTAAACACTGCTTTGTTCTGGAAAAGATGGATCAGTGGAGTTCAAGCAGCCAGGAGGAAAAAGTCTGTGCTCTTGGGGCTTCAACTTCCAGCTGCTGTTGCAGTTACAATAGCTCTGTCTCCTGCTCTGTCAGATAATGAGGAGGACTGTGGACCAGATGCAGGGAGAAAGGAATAACAGTGGATACTAAATGGCCAGAGGCCTAGGGAAGCCAGGATTGGAATGGGGAAAGCTGTCCGTGGGGAACATCAGTCGATGTTGGGATGGGAATATCAAATACAGCGGGCTGTGGGTGAGGCTGATGGCTGGGACTGAAGGCAGAGTTTGAAAAGAGACTTAAAATTGGGGTGGGGGGGTGTGTGGGCTGGGAGTAAGGGCCTTTAGCATGGTTTGGTGGGAAAACTTGGTGCTGCTCCAGGCGGGTCAGGACAGAGCCAGCGGGGTAAGATCTGCTCCATGTCTGAGGGCACCAACCCAGCTCCAGCTGGCACCACTGACTTTCCAAGGGTTCAAACCCACACCCCCACCACACAAAAATCTACAGAACAACTCTCCAACACCACTGCACTGCTCTGACACCTCCAAACTAAAAGCTGAGGCAGCAGTGGACGATGCTCTTGATGACAGAATGAAAGATGGAGGTGTTCACATTGACTCATGCCTTGAATTCCAGTTTACTACTCTCTGTCTGCTAACAGTTTTCACCAACTCCAAGACAAGCCTCTGGAGTGCTGTCCAAATTCTGCAGGCCAAGCTCTTTGCTAGACCCATATATAAATACACACACACACAGACACACTGCACAGACACTTGATTTAGAGAAAGAGATCCAATAAAGCAAAAGAAAATGGTTAACCACAATGGAACCTTCATCTCAGCTGGGGCCTGCAGATGCTATCATGATAGAGATAAAGGGTTTCCAGTCAGCAAATACATTACTGCCTCCCCTACTCATGGCTTCAAATGTTCTGCCTCAAAAGACAGAACTGGGGGAAGGAAGAAGATGTCTCCCTCCTGTCAAGCCTTGGCTTGATCTTACATGCCAAGTGGGGAGGTATTAAATGTTAATCAAGAGGTGACAGTCACACCCAGCCCCTCTCTGCCAGGGCACTGCTCTCCTGATGGGTACGTTGCTGCAGGACCTGCTGTCTGTGACACACATGGAGGATCTCCCCCATTAACCAGCAGCAGGGGCTTCCCTTGTCCCTTTATCCCCAGCACACACCCACCTGCCATCACACAACCGGCTCAGAAAAATGGGAATTAAAGCACAGACCTTCCCTGCTTTCCACAAAGCACACAGAGCCCGTCAAACCAGTACAAAGAAACCACTGGCAAAACTATTCTTCTGCTGATGAAGCTCGTCCTGCCCTCACCAACCCCCCCCCTTTCTAAAATATTTATTTTTTATAGGTGCTGCATATTTATCTCCACTGAGAGATGCATTTGTCATTCGATTTATCTCACTTGATCCCCACAGCTGCAGCCCCAGATCCATTTCATCCGCTGCCACATACATTATCATTTTTCTTCCCTTGCACAAGTGTCACCAGAAATCCTGCGAAATCTCAGGCTCTATCAGTGCAGTTTGGTGCTGTGTGTTTGCTCTCACAGCCCCGTGTGCTTCATTTCTGCTTCCCCCCCTCCTCCTCCTCCTCCTCCTCCTCTCTCCCACCCTTGCAATCCCTCACAGTCCCACCACTATCTGCCACAGATATTAATGAAACCTAATGAGATCTCAGTCCTGTGTTAAGAGGCAGGGAACACAACCAGGGAGGTAAAAGAAGATAAAGGGCAAAGAGAGAGAAAAAGGGTCTGTATGTGCCTTCTCCTGCTCTGCCAAATATAAGCCATATCTTTCCAGAATAAAAGCAATCAGAACATAAATGTGTGTGGATATATGTCATTAAGATCTCCCATCCCAGCTAAGCAGCTCTGTGATTAGTGGGATTGATTCTGTCCAAGTGCCAGCCTGAAAACACCAAAGGTTTACACAGGCAGAGACCACAGCAAAACCCCAGCTCCTCTTACTGTAAGTGATGCAGGGAACTAGAAATGATCTGAAGCGACTGGGCATGTCCTGCAGGGAACCAAAATCATGCCCAAACCCCTGCTCACAAAAAGCAGAAGGAGAATTGAACTGGGGACAGAGTGAGCAGCAGCAGGAGTGGCTGCTGGCAAGGCAACCCAGCACCTCCTGCCCTTCTGTCTCGCTGTAAGCCAAGCCTGGATCGTGCCATCTCCTGCCTCCACCAGCACTGCCTACCCCTTAGCAGCGCCAGTTTTTCCCCCCTCTCTGCTCTGTGATGCCTGTCAGGGCTCTAGAGGAGGGAGGGAGCACCCAGAGGCTCTGCACTGAGCTCCTCATCAGCCCCTGCAGGCAGTGACCATTATGGGGTCACCCCTGGGGCAAGAACCGCAGCTTTGAACCGTCTCCCTGTATCACCCCTGGCTCTCCTTTCCTTTGATCTGCTGGGGGTGCTTCCTGCCTTCCAGGCAAGGAGGAGGTTGGAAAGTTGAGTTTGAAGGCGGTTCAGCCCAGCTTCTCCCAGAGCCGCTGACCAGAGGAGGAGGAGGAGGAGGAGGAAGGCAGCCCTGGCCAGCTGGAACGCAGCCCCCGCGCCACGGCGCTGAGAGAAGCGTGAGCTCAGCAGGGAGGGAGCGTCAGGACAGATGGATTTTTACAGTTAACTGGAACCGCTCCAGGAGAAAAGCCTCTCCCCACCCCACACGCCTTCCCGAAGGCTCCGAGATTTTGGGAAGAGAAACCTCAAGCACCCCAGCCCGGCAGACGCCACGAGGCTGCGGTCGGTGGCAGCCAGAGAGGAACCCGATAACATCAATCCTCTGCAGGAACCCAGGCTGGTCCCAGGGTGTGTTTGGAAGCCACGGGGTGCTCGGTGCCAGAGGGCCGTCAGCCGTTCCTCGCTCCAGCCAGAACATCGGCTCCGACAGCTCCGACGCTCCCAACAGCTGCTGGCTGGGAGGAGAGGGCCTCGCCTGCTGCCAAAAAAGCGAGGAGCACGCACAGCCAGCGAGCACAGGAGCTGCTCTGATGCACAGGGAGGGCCTGTCAGCTCGCATTAGCCAAGGCAGCCCCTGCCAGCCAGCACTGGGCCGTGCCAGGCTGGTGGCCCCAGCCAAGAGCCGTGTGCCTGGCAGATGCCAGGCTGCTGCACACACGGAGATCTGCCTCCCAAACAGCCCGAGGGGCACAACCCCTTGTCAGCCAGAGGTGGGTGTGACAGCAACAGGGTGTGCAGGCACACAGGGGCTCGTGGCAGGCGCCGAACAAGCGGCAGTTCAGGTCCCCGTGGAGGATGGGACAGCGGCCCTCTGCCAAAGCTGTGTGACACCTGCCACTCCTGAGTCTGGAGGAAGGGAGGGAACGTGTTCCAACACGTTTACACTGAATAGTGCTGTTTGCAGCTTCCTCATGAGGGGCAAGCACTGGATCTCTGCTCTGTGTGGCCAGTGACAGGACCCGAGGGAACGGCTGGAGCTGTGTCATGGGAGGTTTAGGTTGGATTCCAGGAAAAGGTTCTTCCCCCAGAGGATGGTTGGGCACTGAACAGGCTCCCCAGGGCACTGGGCACGGCCCCAAGGCTGCCAGAGCTCAAGGAGCACTTGGACAACGCTCTCAGGGACAGGGTGGGATTGCTGATCCTCGTGGGTCCCTTCCAACTCACAATATTCAATAATAATCTTACTGTTCAAAGCAGAGAGGTTGTGGCTCATTCGAAACTGGAGTCACTCAGCCAGCAAGGTATGAGGGAAGGTATGAGGGAAGTGGTCAGGAAGAGCACCCTGCACCATGGAATGGCAGGGGAGAGGCAAAGCAGACTGCTGTGCAGCACTGCTGTGAGGGGCAGCAAGGAGGAGGGATGGAGACGAGAACTGCACTTGTGTTGTGTGGAGGGACTTGGGGAGGAAGTGCCCCTGTGGCTGGAGAAAGGAGGGAACATTGCCATCTTGTGGAGAGCACCTCAGGGAGGTTGAAGGCAAGGAAAAGCACGGGCTCAGAGCACAGGTACTGCTCTGAGACCACACAGCACTTCAGACAACTCTGAATGCCAAGAACTCACCTGAGTTCCCCATCCCAAACCCCATCCCCACAGCAGTCATGCAGCCTCTGCTCCACTTTGGCTCCCAACAGAGTGGAAAAGTCCACAGCCACTTTCACCTACCTTCAGCCTCCTACTTCCATGTGATGCCTCTATTCCTCCCCAAGAACTCCCCAGAACACAAATAAAAATTAAGATTAAAAGGTAAACAGCTCTCCCCTCATTTTGGGGGCCACCTTGAGTTCACTGTTAGCCTCAATGACTTTATTCCTGCCACCCATGGCATGACCAAGAAGTGTTTCAAACCTTACCTGAATGACAGTGGGGAGAACCAGCTCCGGGAACCCAATGCTGTGGGCTTGGCTGTGGAGGTACTCGAGCATCAGGTCATAGAGCTGGTCAATGAGTCCATCCTGAGCAGGAAAAACCAAGATATCAGACAGGAACCAAACCCTACAGTGCCCAGGTTGGGAAAGGAGATTCCAGCCTTATGGGACAGGGCACAGAGGTCCCAGAGAAGCTGCTGAGGTCCCACTTACTCTGAAGGCCTTTTCCTGCAGGTTGGCATTGGAAAGCTTCAAGATCACGGCAAAGTTTATAGGCTTAGAACTCATTCTCCCTGGCTTCTTGTTGAAATCCACTTGTTGAAAGACCTAGAGGAGAAAAAAACAAAAAAGACTGTAAAGACAATCACACCACAAAACAAGAGAGGTGCTCACTGGCAATAGGAAATAATAAAAAGAAAAATAAAAAAAATGAGCCAGCAATTGGTAACATTTGCATATCTGATGACAACCATTGAGGGGATGAGGAGCATATCCTGTCCACCCACACTTGTGAGCGCACCTGAAGAGCAGCTGACAGCTCCTCTCCCTGTGCCCAACGCTTTTAAATTGCACTCCTGAGCAGGAAATAATTTCTATTCCCTCTATGCAGCAGCAACACATCCATCATCAGCCCCCAAGCAGCCCAGCCAAGGTGGGGATGCAGCACACACTGATTGCTCGAGGGTGAGGTGAGCAGGAAAGGGAGGGTGTTCAGGTCACACCGGTGCCCCCGGGCCAGAAAAGCACGGAGACGACTATTGATTTCTTTTTTTTTTTTACATTTTATTTGTCAATCCAGGTTATTTGGAAGGGAGGGACAAGCTTGGTGGCTTGTGAAAACAAAGAGCCCTTGCCTAGGGAATCGATGCTATAAACCTCGTTATGCACGGTTATTTCTTTGGCCAAAACAGGAGTATTGATCCCCGAGGTCAGACACATTAAAGCTGAGAGGAGTCAGCCTTGGTGGGATCCCAACATGCCTCCAGGCAAGCAGGGAAATGCAACCAGAGGCTTTGGAACTCGCCCAGGAGGAGCTGGGGAGCCGGGTTAGGACATGTAGGGAAGGAGGGGGGGAAAAAAAAAATGTGGTTCCCATCCTAAAGGACTGTGCAGAACAGGGAGACTGAGGGAGAGCATGACTGATGTCTAGGAATCCTGCGGCAGGGTGGGAAGGTGATAATGAGGGACTAGAGGGCCACAGAACGTCACAAGGCAGCAGTTTGGCTGAAGTGATAACCACTAGCAGACAGAGGAAAGGACAGGGCAGCGCAGGCAGGAAGGAGAAGGATTTTTGGCACTCCCAGCAGGCTCACAGATGATTTCCATGTGGGAGCTGGGATACACAATTTACACTGCCAGAGTGCAAACCAGAGAACCAGCTCTGCACCACAGCACTACCCCTCTGTCAACCCCTCCCTTTTCCTTCTCTCAGGCTCCAGGAAAAGCCTCCTGGCATCTGCTTTGATCACCCCAAAGCTGGATGCCCCAGACCAGCTCACAGCAGGGATATATTGCTGGGCCTGCAGCTTTCCCTCAGGTCTGTCCAGCCACTTCTGTCTCCCACTTCACTGAGGGAAGGGCTCAGCCTAGTTAAGCTGCTCAGGAAAAGTCCAATTTTATTGTCAAGTCGCCCACCTTTCTGCAGAAGCTGGTCACAAACATTAAAAGGTTGGAAGTCACCCTGCAAGTCACCTCAACCAGGTACCTCAGGGCCATGTCCAGCCAGATCTGGGGATTTCCTTTTTTTTCCTGTGTAGTTTTTTCCCCTCCAGTGTTATCTAAGTCAGGCCTCCTGTGTTTCATTTTCTGTGTAGTGCAGGACACTTATCTGGGTGTATCAACTCTTCCAAACTTCAAATCATCTGCAAGCTTGCTGATGGTGCCACTCTGCCCCACTGTTCAAACCCTTAATGAATAAGATAACCAGTATCAGCCCCAGCATCAATCCCTGGGGTCTTTAAGCGTATGGCAACGTCCAGCTTTATCTTCACATCAGCTGATTTTTCTGCAACACATTCCACTGCCCCCTCCCATATATATGTTGCTCTCCAAGCCCCTGGGAATTTTCTGCAAAACAAGACTCCAGCCATTGAAGTGTCAAAGTGAAACGCTCCTGCCTTCCTAAGCATGTCAGGGTTAACCTGCTCTGCCATCCCTCAGCAAGGGAAGCCAGGTTTAATTTGGCATGCAAAGTCTGCCTGGGGGGAGATTTCTACCTTGTCTATCCACACCTGCCTTCCAGAGGATGAGCCACCAATTTTCCTGCTGCAGAAGCCAGTGGCTGTCACACAATAAGTGAAGTGATGAAAAAAAGGGAAGATTGGGATCTCACAGGCCTTTCAAGGGGAGTAACAGTACAAAAATAAACCCCTGCCTGCTCTTCACTCTCTCCCAAGCCACCCCTTCCTATCTAAGATGTAATTTTAGCAAGCTGCTGCTTTTGCTCCATCTTGGAGAGCAGAGTCAGAGAGGAGACGGCGTTGGATGCCCACGCTGGGGAACATCAGCCCTTGTCAAGATGCATCAAGCAGCCAGCTCTCATTTCCACTGGCAGGGGCTTGGGGAATTCCTGTGCCTCTGGGAATGAACAAATGCTCAATCTGTGCCTCCTCAATGTGCAGCAGCAATGGGGTTGAGGCAAGAGGCAGCAAGGACTTGGTTTCCTTGGTGGAGAAGGGAAATGCAGAGTTCAACACAAGCAGCTTCACAGAATCCACACGCTCAGGCCATGCAGAGCCCTCTCCAAAAAGTGCACAAAGCACAGGGTCAGGAACTCCACAGCTGTTCTTTTACTGCACTTGGATCCAGCTAAAACAGTAACAGAGCAGTTTTTATCCTCCCCATCAAATGGAGCATTATCCTATGCTGGGAAGGCTTCGTTCCACTCCACAGACCCAAACCATGCTCCCCAAGTGCACCCCTGTTTAACACCAACATACCGGTCACATCCTTCCATCCCATGATGGTTTGAATGATGGGCTTAAAATGGATTCTGGGTCATGGCATGGTGTAGAATGGGACTAGTGTTTATTGACTTGGTCGCTGCTGAATTTGTGAGCTGGCACAAACAGGTTCATAGTCGAAGCACTATGGCTGGGCACCAGAGTGCAGATTCTCCTCCCAGCATCACCACAGCCACCTTGGGACTTTGGACAGGTCACTTCCCACTTCCTGCCATCTCATCTGCATACAGATGGAATACAATTCCAGCCTGAAGACAGCTTGTGGAGACACTCTAAGGGTTCTAAGAGTGTTCAGCTACCTCTGTGACAGAGAGGAAGAGGGAGTTGGGAAGAGATGGAAATATAAAGGGAACAGTCCTGAATGCTCCTGGGAACTCCACAGATTATCTGGGGGATCCCTGGCAGGAAACAGACAAGAAGAAGGGAAAGGCTGACAGCTGCAGGGAGATTTGAGAGTTTAACATCGTGACAGTTACGGAAATCATGAGTTATAGAAATTAAGGCACACATTTACCCTGCCCCCTTCTGTCCCTTGTCACCACACCTGGACAAGCAGAGCCCAGCAGCGCCTCACAAACACACGCAGTGGGATGGGATGTGGTTGGGGGCTGGTAGAAGCTGGAAGGAAGCTCAGAGTGTAGTGTGGGAACATCTGGCTGGGGCCCAACACTCAGATTAGTGACGAGGTGTCGGGGCCAGGACACGAAGAGGGGGGGAAAGGCCCCCAAGGGGAAAAATTTTATCTTTACAGCACTAGAAAGTAAAAAGCAGAGACAGGGGAGATGCCTCTCTGACAAAATCTGGCTGGCAGAGTTTCAAACACTCATGAGCAAGGGGAAGGAAGCAGGGGAATGGCAAAGCCACACAGGTCAGGGCTGGGGGGGGCAGGAGGAGGTTGATAAACATCGCTGCCTTCCGCAGGCTGAGGATGTGGTTTGCAAGGGACATTCACAACAACCCCAAACCACAAAGGCCTCTTGCTTCAACAAAACCTGATTAGGAATGAGCCTGGCTGACTCAGGGCTCTTATTATAGAAGTCTCCCTCCCTCCTCCTCCTCAGTGTCCAGCCTCATGCCGACCTCCTGGGGCTGCTGCATTCCTCACCCCGCCTTGCTCACACTTCTTCAGTGAAATCTAGCTGCAAAACTTCTGTATTACCTTCTCACAGCAGCAAAACTATAGAAGGATTGATGTGGAGAGATGTCAAGTGTCTGATATGTGGGAAAGCTGGATGGTCCCTTAATAGCAGTATTTCACCAAACATACTCAATTTTGCCAGGTTACACTCACAGAGATCTTTCTAAATTTTTGAATTCCTGAAGGGCTTTTTCCTTCCATTTCCCTTTGTCTGCACTTAGGAAGAATTCTTCCTTTTTCTAAGACATGAACACATCAGCAGGATCAAGAAACAGCTTGGGGAGTTACTGCAGCCAGCTCAGCCTCTGCATCTCTTCCTTGGCAACCCCTGTTTCCCACTCCAGCTGCATCAGTGAAACCACCAAGGAATGTATTTTTGCACCCAGCTGATCTCAGGTGCAACTCACAGGCCAATGAAAGTTTAATCCCATTTGCCCACCAAACAGTACATTGTCTGACGCTGTTTGCCAGGGATTATAGGGGAGTAAGCAAAGTGGGGAATCTCGGAAGCTGCTGGTGAGTGTAGTGAGCATGTTTATGGGGCAGAAGGTGTCAGTCAGCAGGAACCAAACTAACCTCCAGGATAAATGGCAACACTGGGATGAAGGTCCTGGTGTTCTCAGACAGCAGGGTAAGGGCACGGATGCAGTGCATGCGCAGAGGGTAGAAACGGTTCGTGGGTACCAGCCTAGAGGAGGGGGGAGAAAAGAAAGGATATTAGGCCAAGTTTATCCAGGAACTGCACCTGCAGCCTCCAGTGGCACTCAAGAGCCTTTCCTACTCTGCTGAAGAAAGGCAGCTTCAGTACTGCACAGCAAACTGAGCTATCCCACAGTGGGAAATAAAACTCGCTTGATAAGGCTGTAACACCAACGCACAAACTCCTCCAGCCAAAGCACAGGTTCCCCACAGCTGCTGCTGGGAGAAAGTGCTACAAGGGCCTTGCAGATGAAGTTTGTCACTGATGCTGTTCAGTCAGGCTCGACACTTTTGCCTCTCATGCTCCCAGCATGGGGAAAGTGGCAGGAACCAGCAGTGAAATGACCATCTAAAGCAGCGAGTTTGACCAAGGAAAGAGCTCCCCCAGCACACCAGAGGAGGAAGAGGTTTCCCTCCTCAGGCTTTGTACTCACAGAGCTCATGCTGTCACTTGAACAGTGACCCTCTCAGTGTGGAAGGTCACAGGGGCAGGAGCTGGACTAGCAGTGACCAGCACATCTGGAAGGACGGAGTGGGAATGAGTGACCTCCCACAGCCACATCTGTTCAGCTCTCTCCATCCCTCCTGGGCTATTCCCCATCTCCTTCAGAGAGGCAACGTGTACATTTGAACAACCAGGAATCAGCATGGGGGAGGGGGAAGAGGCCCGACTTTCTTTCACCCACATTTCAAATCATTTCACACTCAGATAGTGCCAACTCCCTTTGTCAGGCTGGGACTGAGAAGGATCAGCTCCCCCAGCACCACATAAGCCAGGAGCAGAGGGGAGAATGGAGAGCAACCCCTCAAACACACCAGACCTCATTACTGAACCACTCTGGAAGTCTCTCACTCTGAATGACCTGCACTTGAAGGCACAGGTGCCTCCAGCATTAATAAAAATTTCGTGGTTTTTTTTTTTTTTTTTAAAAACACAGTTCACAGATGACAGGTCCAAGCTGATAAATGAACCCCTCCCCTCCCCAAAGGGCTTGCTGAGCAATCCAAGAGAGCACAAAAAAAAAAAAAATAAGAAAAGAAAATGCTTGACCAGGCACCATAAATAACCTGCATCTCCCCCCCCTTCCAAATAGTGAAATAATTATCATTGGATCCATTATAGAAATAAATCTACTTTGCACCCCTGATCTGGCACCACTGGAGATGACGAAAGCCATTCTCAGGAATTAATTGATCGAGGAATAAACCTGTTAAGTGTATAGATTTACTGTAAACCAAGACCATTAATTTTAGAGTGCGTGGCAATGCAACAATCTGCTCAACATCCCAGTGGTGGGAGGCACAGGGAATACAAAACACAGCTGGGTCCCAGCTCTGCTGAGGGAGGTCCGACTGCCTTGTCACTCCAGGGGGATCAAACTGACTCACACTTCATCTCATGCAAAGTGCCTCCAATGTCTTTCCATCACCGTGTCCTGGAATGCCTCCTGTACTTCTCCCATGCAGCCAGGACACAGGTTGGGGGGTTGGAACAGCCTAAAACTTCCCAAGGGTTGTTTTTACTTGCTACAGGCCCTTCTGTTACACTCCTGGTGACCAAAGATGAAGCTTCTTTCAAACATCAGCCTCTACCCCAGCAGGACAGGACACCAAGGGAAGCTGCTCAGGGACACTAAGGCTGTGCTTGCTTCCCTGTGGAGGAAGTTGCACCTGCTTTCTTCCCTGTGTGTGCTGAGAGGCTGGAATTTAACAGGCACCAAAAATCCTCATTTAACTAGACACCAGGGAGGAAGTTCCTCTTTATACCTTGGGCTGCAAGCAAAGTAAAAATGCAAGCAGATACGGACAGAAAACTGTTTTTGGAAAAGGGATACCAGAAGAGGAGATTCTGTGGCATAAAAACAACCAAGACAGATGCAAGGTCTCATGGCCAGACAAACACACCCCGTGGTCACCGTCCTTGTGCTGGAGCCAAGCGCCACCTCCTGGCACAAAGGGCAGCAGGGAAGGGGATTCTCCTCCCATCCCTCTGGATAAATCACTCCCCCTACACCAGCAGCACAGGAGGAAGAAGGTGTTCCAGATGTTACACAGCATCCTGCCCCACGGAGCCACATCACTCCCACATGTCCTAACCTACTCCCTTTCTATACATCCCAGACACTGGGTGGGCTCAGTAAGGAAACCAGGGTGGGATCTACTTCTGTTTTCCCAGAGAATCAAAGAATGGTTTGGGTTGGAAGGAACCTTAAAGATCATCCAATCCCATCCCCTGCCATGGGCAGGGACACCTTCCACTAGCCCAGATTGCTTCAAGCCCCGTCCAACCTGGCCTTGGACACTCCCAGGGATGGGGCAGCCACAGATTCTCTGGGCAGCCTGTGCCAGAGCCCCATCACCCTCATAGGGAAGGATTCCTTCCTGATCTCTAATCTAAACCTCCTCTCTGCCAGTTTGAAGACATTCCCCCTTGCCCTGGCACTCCAGACTGTTGTAAAAAGTCTCTCTCCACCTTTGTCACACAGAACCTGGAGCTCATGCCAAGCAGCCCTGCCCATCCCTGATTCCAACAAAACTGCTGCTCTTGCTGAGACTCACCCAGTTCACCTTCCCTTGTCCCCAGATTCCTGATTTATCTGCCTGGACAGGTAGAAAACCACCCAGATTCCTCCCCAGGACAGCCAGAGCCCCGCAGGAGCAGTGGGAAGCAGCCTGGGGACGCAGGGGGGATGGGAAGAGGGATGTTTGGATACTCTAACGATCGTTTAAATCTGCTTATCTTCACCACCACTCGGGAGTTTTTCCAAGAGCAGGCGGGTGGTGTTTTTAAGCTGAGAATCTGGTTAACAGAGCTAACAGGATTTTGGAGATCACCAGAGATTCTGAAATTCCCTCAATGCTCGTTATTAACAGCCGTTTCAAAAGCACAGAAATTTCTGTGTATGAACCGAGGAAAGAAATTCTCAGCAGACGTACTAAAAATAACAGCCGAGTCCTAGTTCTTCAAATTCTAACAAAGATGCACCAAAAATGCATCTTTTAACTGTGTTTACAGAGCTGGAGGTGAGGTCTTGATTCTGCAGTTACATCCTGAAGCAAGACAGAACATTTTCCTTGCCACTATGTACAGGTGGGAAGGTAACTGTCCAGGCTATTCAGACTGACACTTCTCTTATACACAGAATTTAGCCTAGGGAAGAATAACCTACACAGCAACTTTCTCACCACCTAAACACGCTCACAACACATCTTTGGCTGGAATGCTTCAATCAAAAGCAGCTCTGAGTCAACTCCTTACAATGCAAGGTTAAATCTAAATCACATAACAGTAACACTCCTCAGCAACTGCCCTGCATCAAGGAATGGACAAATATGGCACAGGGAAAAAAAAATTCTACTTACTTTATACAGCCAATGATGACCTGTGTCAAAGGATAGATTAAGGGCTCCATGACCTCACTGGGATAGATGGTGCTGAGAACACGACACCAGAAGTACAGGCAGTGGATATACTGCCAGTTATAAACAGACTGGAAGTTCTCCTGCAGGAAAGGGAAAAATAAAAGGCACAGAACTTTGAAAACTCGCCCTGCTTTCTCCACAAGACTCATTTTATACAGGAATAACCATCATTGTACTGCTACTCTGAGAGCAGTGGCTGAGCCACCAGCCAGCAAGTTCAGATGCTGCATTGGCAACGCTGTGGTTTTGGTACAAGTCAGTGCCTGGAGGAAACAATGTAAATAAAAGCAGTCTGGGGGTGTTGCTCAAGCGTGGCTCCTTTGAGAAGGAGTCCTTAGAGGACACACTTTCCAAAGAGTTCTGCATGCATTCCCCAAAACTGCATGAAGAAAGAGAGGGGATAAAACTCAGCAAGGTGCCTCAGCTCCCACTTGTGTTTGTTTCAGACTTTCAAGGCCCAGGTCATCTCTTCTGAATGGATAAGAAAGATGCACAAGTCCTGAAACAAGGACAGGAGCCCCCCAACTGCAGCCACTGGAACAAACCTTGCAAGGAAGATTAAAGCCAAGCCACAGCTGGACATGGCAGAGCTCTGCCAGCTCTCACCAGGTCACTGAGATGCACCAAAGAGCTCTTCTCAGCTTCTCTTGCACAAGGACAGACAAGCAATCTGCTCCTGTAATCACCTTCCACGACCATCCACCGCTCCATTTAAATAGGCTTATTGCTTGGATTTGTACATTTTGGTTGTGCTGTTCTCATTTCAAGTTCCACAGCCCTCCCCAGCTGTGAAATCAAGTGGATTTAGTTCTTGTCTGGACCAGAACTAAGGGTGTAAGAAGCCAGTACAATCCAATTAGGGGATATACAGCCCAGACTTCATTTATCTCTGCTTATTTATCCCCATGTCTGAACAGCCAGGAGATTTAGCTGGTCACCAATCCTGCAATGTTTGGGGGCAGCTGAACAACTAATCTATTGGGGTCTGTTTTGCTAAACACGAATAAAGCCAGGATTAGCAATCTGACTTAGATTTCCGAGGTCAGACTGGAGGTGGCTGAAACCAGGGCTGCTCCCAAAAGGTCTGAGCTGCTTTGTTCAATTAAGTCCTCTAAATAGTGCAGACTTTTTGCAGGAGAGATGCACACACCAAGGTGGTTCCTAATCTTCCTCTTTACCTTGAGGTTTTGTGACAGAGGCTGCAAACAGCAGCTTCAGAGTGCAAAAAGGGTGCCCAAGGCACAGGATGGGAAGTGCATCACAAACTCTTGCAGGTGGGGAGAGAAAAGTGATTCCCATCCTGCTAGTGGGCAGGGACACCCTCCACTAGCCCAGGTTGCTCAGAGCTCCATCCAGACTGGGCTTGAACACTTTCAGGGATGGGGCAGCCACACATTCTCTGGGCAACCTGTGCCAGGGCCTTGCCATCCTCACAGGGAAGAATTTCTTTGGTATATCCAATCTAAACCTCCTCTCTGCCAGTTTGAAGCCATTCCCCCTTGTCCTGTCACTCCATGCTCCTGTAAACAGTCTCTTCTTTTTTTTTGTAGGTTCTCCTCAGGTCCTGGAAGGCCACAATCAGGTCACTCCAGAGCCTTCTCTCCTTCCTTGCTGAAATTCTACCACGGGCAACCCTGGAGCTCCAGCCCCTTGGCTGGGCGATGAAACGGGTCAGACAAGCGAGGCACCACCAAAAGCCTGAAGTGATGACTGTAATCTCCCCTCTCCACACATTCCCCTGTAGGAGGACACACTCCTTCCACACCCAAGGGGCACCCACCTTCTTCTTGATGGTCATGGCGCTGCGCAGGTGGATGGCAAGCTGGCGGATGTAGATGAAGGCGTGCTGGTAGGAGGTGTGGGTGTCCAGGGCGTACATCTCCGTCAGGGTGCGCTGCATGAAGTTGATCATGGGCAGGACGTTGGGAGAGGTGAATCTGGAGTTCTTCACAAAGGCAATGTACATTTGCTGTGCAGGGGAGAGGAGTAGATAACAACCAGGTGAAAAAAAAACACGTGGCGAGAGACGTTCTCGCGCTGACCCTCCCCACCACCCAGGCGTGTCCAAACCAAGGGGGGGAAGTGTTCCTTTCATAAAGAAATATGCAAAAGTAATAATCCAGCCTGCTCCTTCTTTAGAGGGGAGAGAGGAAAGAGTCTGTTTACCACAGAGCTCAGAGATGTCCCCACCACTGTCTGCCTGCAAGAAGAAAACACTTGGTTTTCTCTGGAAGAAGGCACTCGGGATGGTCTAGGCCATCCGTGGTTCTGGCTGGGCACAGTTCTCTTGCTTAGGTGCCACTGCCACAGAAAACTACGCTTGGTAACCTCAGGTGAAAGATCAGAGCAGCTCAGTTGTATGGCAGCACTTCAGGAAAGCCCTGAAGAATCTGGAAGATGAGTAGATAGATCACCAGCAGAGATCTTCCCCGCTCAGAGTCTCTGTGCCTCCAGCAGGAAGGGGAGCAGTAGGAAGAGCAGAGATCACTCTGACCTAACAGAATTTCTGCCTTGTTTAATTTTCTGGACATAACCAGCATCATCTAATAAGCTGC